GGACACAAAAATCTTCACAGCCTGTGCCTTTTCTGAGAATTTCATCCACACATCTATTTTCCAGATTTCCTTGTCTCTAGCCTTCTAATCCTGTTTCTTCCAGTACCTAACCGTTCACCCAAATAGTTAACAGTTGCTAAAGAATCTTGTAAATCTGTCCACCTGATCATCTCTCACTATAAAGCAGAAAACCAAATGTACTGCTTAAAGTGCTGTCCACTGAGAAGTTTCACCTTTACTGTTGTCTTCAAGGTCAGCACTGGTCGGGCTGCAGTGCCTTCAGGCAGGCCCCAACATGTGGTATAGAAACATCTGGGAACCTGGTTCATATTTTTTCTTCCTCAATCAACTGATCATAATCATAATCAGCACACATGGGGCCATAAATTTGTAAGACACATTGCACCAGGAATTACTGTTGAAGGATTCTGAGCCACCTATTCATGCACATTACTTAAAACTTCCATATCTGTCCAAGCCTGGCCTTTTGCTTGCTATTTTCACTCAATGGTTGTGCACAACAACAGTCTATCTATGGTTAGGTTAGTCATGTAACTTTCAGTTGATGATAGGAAACTTAGGACACATAGTCACCTAATATCCCATAGGTAAACATTTACTCTCTAACAAAGCCTAGAGGCAAGGGGGAAGCTGCTTCTCAAAAGGAAAATAGTTATCTGTAAAGGAGGGAATGGATTTTGCTCCCAAATAAAAGCATCTTCAGTACAATTCTCCTTTGATAGTTTCTAGAGACTCCGTACAGCATCCATATTTACCACAGACACTTTGAGTATCAGGTGGATTTGCTATGTCATAAATCCCGAGTGGAAGATCAGTCTTGCCATCTCTTATTCTGGTCCCCACTGGACACTGGAAGCCTTGTTAGTGACGTGATAGGTGAGCGGAAGCAGTTCATTCAAATGTGGTATATATGTTGCTTCCACAAGACCTATCAAGTATTTTCCTCCTTTCGTTTGTGGCAGGTGGTGGGAGGTACAACAACTTGTCTTTCACTTTGGAGGGAATATCTTGGTGTACTCCAGACACTGGATCCCCAAAAGCTTCACTGAAGTGGTAGGTCCCTCAATTTTGGAGGGAATTATCTGCCACTCTCCTGACTCACTTATGTCTTACTAAGGCATCTAAAGTACTTGTTGCTTCCTGCTCCCTAGATCCATTCTGCATAATGTCATCAAGGTAGTGGACCATTGAGATGTTTTGTGGAATGTCAAGACAATCAGGATCTCTGAGGACTATATATGGCAAAGAACAGGAGAGTTGAAATAGCCCTGAGGCAAGGCTTTGAAGGTGTGCACAAATACAAGCCAGGTAAAAGCAAACTGCTTCTGGTGGTCCTTACAAACTGATATGGAGGAAAAAGCATTAACCAGAGCAATAGCTGCATGCAAATGCCTGGGGCGGTATTAACTTGTTTTAGTAAAGATCTGGAGGAGTAGTTTGAACTGGAGTCACCACCTAATTAAATTTACTGTCTGCTGATATTATCCAAAATCCATCTTATTTCAGCACAGACCAAACAGGCCAGTTTAAATGATGATCTGATAGGAATTCTTACCCCATACACTTCAAGTCTTTGGTAGTCACTGATATTTGTCACTGATTTTTGCAATTTTCAGGCTTGCAGTTTTGCTTCTGGTTTATGTCTTGGTAGAGGGAAGAATTTCCAGGGGTTTTCCCTTAATTTTTCCTGTCAGAATGCCCATGGATCACAGACCCAGCCTAGAGGAGTCTACAGGCTGTCACATATGTCTTTTTCAATTCAGGAATTCTGTGGAGTTCACAGACCACCTGGGTTCACTGTTATTCAAACCTGGGCTCAGACTCCATCTGTCAAATGATCACCCTAAGTTCCCACTTTTGCTGATATACAACAGCAGCATTTTGTGTCCTCAAGAATTAGTGTTAATTCAGAGCCCATGTGTAGTAATTCCTAAAAGTTTCAATATTTCCTTTGCTCCAGTTCACAATCATTTTAGTTAAGCGGTCATTTTAGTTAAATGGATCCTTGGAGGAAGATTGACATGATATTCTTGGGGTGGGGCAGTGCTATAGGGTCTGTCCTTATTGGGACTTGGTCTTCCCTTCAATCAGAAGGCTCTGAGTATATATGAATTAACTTAGGTCTGAAAACTGGTTGAGAACATGTAACACTCCATTATTGTGATTGAAGTCAGGTACTTCTTATTTACCAGGTTTGGAGTTTTTTCTATTATGTAGATCAAATATTAATCTAGTAGCTTACTCATCTGTTGCATTCTTGGAAACACTGTGATTAATTAGCCACTAATAGAAATATCCCAGGCCAAAACATTCTGATTATTAGTACATCCATGTTGCCCTTTTTGGTAAAAGAATCTACCATATCTTTGGTGGATAAGATTCTGTCTCCCATTCCTTGACCTATATAAGAGGGTATTCACAAAACTTTCCAAGGTTGCAGCTGCTGCCCTTAATTAATGTATTTCTAATGCTTTCATGGAGACTGTTTTCTAGACATTTTGGGAGGATGCAGTTGGTGGATGGGTGTGCAAGTTGCGTATGAAAAATCTACTCCAACATTCTTACCTCCCTAAGTTTTTCGAGTCCTTCCTATGTATCAGGGGTCAGCCAATGGAACAAATCTTGCCTACGTCCTGATGTAAATAAAGTTTTATTGGAACACAGACATGCCCATTCATTTGTGTATTGTTTAGGACTGCTTTGCAGCACAATAGTAGAATTGAATTGTTGTAATAGATACCATATGGCCTACAAAGCTGAACATATTTATTATCTATTCCTCTAAGAAAAAGTGTGCCAACGTCTGCCCTAGAGCATGCCGAGATTTGATCCAAGTTAGGGTATAGTGATAGCAGAGTGGCTTTGATAGTTCTTCAAAAGGTTAAGCATTCCCTGCAGGGCATCTGCCCCAGAAGGCCAGTCTTCTCAGACCTGGGAGAGCAAGCTATTTGCACTGGCCAGTGGGCTCAGAATAATACAGAAGTTCAAGATGCTCAGTTTTTTCTGAATCCAACCAGATGTTCCCATTCCACGATTCAAAGTTCCCTTCCTTCCCAGTCAATGTCCTACCTTCACATAAGAAATTTTGTGAGACTGTGAATTCAAATGACATTGTAAATTTGTAACCTACACAAATTTTGTGTCTAATTTTCAGCAATATCAGTCCAGAAATATGAGTTTCTTTTAGATTTGTCATGGAAGCTCTCTACTTGTGACATGTGCTGAAAGTTTAAGGATCTGGGCTTGTACTTCTTTCTGTTAAATGCTCCCTGCACTCAGTGGAATCTATTGTGTAACAGAGTCTTTGTAGTCATCATCATTTCTGTAATGGTCAAGAGCAGCAGCCTCTTGAACTCCCAGGGCACTTACTTCAGTAGATGCTTCATAATCAGTGGTCGTCTCCTGTGACCCCTTCAGTACTAATTCTTTATCAAGAGACAGAAACAACCCCAGTATTTAGAATGGAAATGTTACTATAACGAAGTGTTAACTAATAAAAGGTGGTTACTAAAAGGGGTAAAAGAGGATGCTAAGGGGTAAAGTAGCAACTACAGATGGCAGCTGTCACCCACCGGGCTAAGCAAAGACAGTGAGCAGGGAATGAATTTAGAGAATGATGCCTCCCCTCTCCTCTCAGGCTGATATGCAGATCTCTTTGGAGACGGTGGCCACAGGACAATGTCGCCTGCCAGTGGAAAAGAAATTTGCCAGAAGGCTGATGTAGTGTATCTTTCGCTTTGGTGGCCGAGAAGTTCCTCCATCCCCAACCCCCACACCTGCCCCCTCATTGACCCGCTGGTGCTGGCACATCAGGAGGAAGAAGTCTCTTACTTCTTTCTGGCCGCGCAGGGGCGCTCCGACACTCTAACAAGCACTTACTCAGTCTTCCTGGCTGTCACTACTATCTGTTTGCCACTACCTCCCATATTACAACATTAGCTCCAGAGAAGTATTAATATATCAAACTGGCTCCTTGATGTCTTCACTTGAATTTCTCGTAGGCATCCTTAAATTCATGGGTGCAAAACAAACCTGGTATCTCCCCTAGTTTTTCCCATCTCAGTAAATGACATCACCACTCAAACAAAAATACAGCCTTGACTTCTTTTTCTCCTACTCTACTCCCAGTTAGTCAGTCCTGCTGGGTCTGTCTTCAAAATATATCCAAATCTTAACCATTTCACATCATTTCCCCTCATGCGACAATGCTCCGATTAATCATCCTCTCTTGACTCTTAAATCTCAGAAATCATATCCTGGATTCCTTCACTGCCAATGTTTGCTGGATCATTAAATGACTGCTTGGTTTTCAATTCATTCCTTAACAGCTGTGCCCCATCTTCCCCTCCAAATTTTATGCAAGATACCAAACAACTTAGGGCATTTTGAATATGCCTGCTGTATCCCATGCTACCAGGATAAAGCCCATTTTTTGTGTTTGCCAATACAACATTATCTCTTATTTTTTTGAATTAATTCTTTATGTGTCTTTTGGAAACATGTATAGATAGATCTTTATAGCTTCAACTAATAATTGCCTGCTGTCAGAGTTTTTTAAATTTGAAAACATTTATTTGAAGATGGTCTTATTTCTTAAATTTCTGATTTGTTGGACAGAAACTACAAAGAAACTACCCCCTGCACCCACCAGTTTTTTTTTTTAGTACGTAAGTCATTAGCTTTTTATGTTAGTTAAAAATTTCTGATTCTTTTTCATCAACTTAATTTCTTTTAAAGTAAATGTTAGTATCCACTTTTATTATATTCAGAACAGGGAATGGTTTGTATTAATTATTGCTTAGAATTCCATAACTCTGATTTCAATAGAAAACTTTATTATCTGCGTCCCTTGATTTCTTTTTATTTTGATTTGAGGCCATAATAAATATAGGCATCCTCTCTGAAAGGAAAGTCTCTTTAAGCACATACTTTCTTTTAAATAAAGAAAATTGCTTGATATATGCTCCTTTCTCTTGTAGGTGGGAGATGTTGCTGTTTTTCCCCAGATGGTAAAGTTTTAGCTGTAGGACTCAATGATGGAAGTTTCTTAATGGCAAATGCAGATACTCTAGAAGATCTTGTATCTTTTCACCACAGAAAAGATATTATTTCAGATATTCGATTTTCACCAGGTAACATATTGCTACTATCATATTTGATCTCTAACTTGGATCTGGTAATGAGTAAATATATCAATGTGTAATTTTTATTAACTTGTTTTATCTCAATTTTGCTTTTCTTGACTGAAAGAGGCAGTATGGTGAGAGGTAAAAGTCCTGTGTTAGATCATTGGCAAAATATATGGCTTAATGTTAATTTTGTCACTAAATCTCCTGTGTGACTTGTGCTAAGGTACTTCTCTGAGCCTCAGTTTCCTCCTTTTTAACATAAAAGGGGTTAGATAACTATATTCATTATATTCATAATGCTTTTTAAATTATATTTTGCTTCATCAATTCCATGGTATTCACTATCTCTGAAAAAAATCTGTGATATAGGAATTACTGTTAAGGCAAAATTTACTTATGTTGGTTTACTTTCAATTTTCCTGAATGTAGAGATTTTGGATTTTTATTTGTTAAATGTAAAGTGTATCAAAATTACATTGTATATAATTTTTGACATATGCTTTCCACTGAACTACCTCACTGCACTAAAAAAGTTTTTCATTTTGTTGATTATAATATACTTGAATACTATGTTACCATTTGTTGTTTGACGCATATTTGTTATTATGACTTAGGAAACACCTAAGAGTTCCTCCAAAAAAAAAAGTTAAGAAAATTAACTCTAGTTGTAGAATGTAAAAAATATTTCTAAAGGTAGAAAATGTCAAGCACTTATGTTTCCATTATAGGTTCTGGGAAATATCTTGCAGTAGCATCCCATGACAGCTTTATAGATATATACAATGTGATGAGTAGTAAACGGGTGGGAATATGCAAAGGCGCTACCAGTTATATAACTCATATTGACTGGGATATTAGAGGTAAGAATTTAAATAACTTACTATTTGGTAAATCTTTCACTTAGTATACCTATTTTAGAGAAGAAAGTGATTCAACAAGATGAGTTCAGAAACATTGCAAAAAACAAACATTCTCAAAATTATTTTCCACTACTGCATTTCACACCTGAAGATGAATGTTATGAGTTTAGACTTTTCAGTACCTCTCCTAGTGTAATTCAAATGATAGTAAAGTAAGTGATAAGTTATTTAATTTGTAAAGTCATTTATTGTTTTTAAAATTTTTACTCATTTGTTCTAGTTTTTGTAAGGTAAGCTTCACATAAATAGTAACTGAAAATTTAGAAAAGAGATATATTAATGAGTATTTTAATGTCATTTCCCCATTGTTCAATAAAAAATATGTTCCCTAAAAATAGTATAATTGTGTAACATACAGAATTTAATGAGTACCTTTGTTTTTTAGCAGAGTGCATGGCATATGGCTGTGTTTAGTAACTTAGATAAGTGCTAAATATTTTAAACGTTCTATTTTTTAGAACTTTTGTTTCACCTATTTATATATATAAATCTAGTATTGTAAATTAAAGTTTTTCTGACTATAGTTAAACAAAATACTTTTTTAAAAGTTCCAAAATTTATTTCTAGGATTTTTTAAAGTATGAAATAATTTGGTGACAAATAGTTGATGAAATTTTTAAAAAATGTTTAAAAATAGTTGATAAAAGAATTTGGTGACAAATAGTTGATGGCAGATCCCCCTCATATTTAAATAGTTTTTATGTATATACATAGACAAAAATTAAATTACTTACGAATTTAATTACATCATTAAATGGCTGACGACAGAAGAAAGTTTTCTTGTTTAAGCTTAATTATTTCCATGAAAGTTAAACATCATACTTTTAACTTATATATGTACTTCTTAAAATTTTTTTTTAAGGAAAGCTTTTACAGGTCAACACTGGTGCTAAAGAACAGTTATTCTTTGAAGCTCCCAGGGGGAAAAAACAAACCATCCCCAGTGTGGAGGTAGGAAGATCACACTGCTTGCAATGTTGTTGATATGACTAAGAGTGGTTAGAAAATTGATGCCTACCTTTCTTCTTTTAGTTACATGTGAAGCCTGTTCTCAAATTACTCATATTATGGTTATTAAGAGATGCTGTATTAAGAAAAGGAATAAATTATTTGTATATCTAGCTATGCTCCAATTACTTTTCTCAAAGGACAAGAGGCATGCGATATCAAATAGAAGGCATGCCATCTAAGATTGAACTACTGCATGTCTATGAAATAGTTTGTAACTTATATGCCTAAGATGCTTGCTGGAAAATTCCTGTTTAAAGAAAAAGAAAAAAAATGTGTTTGGTTTAAAATTTTTAAAAAAAATTCATTATTAGTAGAATTTTTGGACATGGCAGAGAAAAAGAAACTAAACAAATTTATCATGAAAGTGGCTTAATAAAGAGAGGAACTGTAAGTAAAAGTTCTTCATTTCCAGTGACTAATGGGAAAACACACTTATAAAGTATTAGAAATTTAAACATGAAGCGTAAAAATAATTTTCTTGATTTTCTAAGAGAAGAGAAGGTCTTATTTATTGTCATTAAAGTGCTCAACATCTAGAACACACAGTGAAATAATGTTATGTTAAAATTTTTCTGCAGGAACCAGTGGACTTGGGAAGCTACAAAAACATGACAAGTAGTAATTTAACTTTTTATTAAAATTTTAGTTTTATTTACGACGTATATAATTACAAAGAAAAATAACTGCAAAGAAAAATGTTCAGATTTCAGTTAATTTTTTTAGGTTTAGGTATTACAAACTTAGAGCATTTTTTTCCTTTTTAGGTAGAAAAAATTGGTTGGGCATCATGGACAAGTGTGCTTGGTTTATGCTGTGAGGGAATTTGGCCAGTAATTGGAGAAGTCACAGATGTAACTGCCTCTTGCCTCACCAGTGACAAAATGGTCCTAGCTACTGGGGATGATTTAGGATTTGTGAAGTTATTTAGATATCCTGCTAAAGTATGTGTTTTTCTTTAACTCTCCTAATGATCATCATTATAAAAATGGTTAAGATAATGCCATTTCATAGTATTTAATTGCTGTAATATGAATATTATATATGTAATATATAATGCTATAATATGAAAGGTTCAGAATTATGTTTCCTATTCTTGACATATTTATAGCTTTTATCTGAAGTATATTTTATAGTCCCATGGCTTAAGTTACATATTATATTGTATAGCATTCCTCAGTATTAAGTAATATAAATATCCCTTTTAGAGAACACATTTCTTTTATCCCTAATATAATTTAAATAATTTTAGTATTCTTTTAATTGTATATGTATGATTAACAGTAAGTATAAATTTACTATAGACTTAAAGTTTAAAATGTTTTAACTAATATAAAATGCTATAAATATAATGCCTATAAAATTAAAGAATGATATAATGTAATTACAGATGTTATTGTGCTAAAACAAAACTGCACAGACTTTGGAGTGCTATATGCCCATGCTTTTGTGTGCTGCATAACAACTCAAGTCTCTTATTTCTTTTCTCTATTTAAACTACTAGGAAATGTTAGACTTTCACTTGGCACAAAAATAAAATTCATGTATCAAGTCCAGATGCATTTATTTCTTATCACAAATTCAGACACCTATTCTAATCTGGCCCTAATATGAACAGAAACATAAATTTGAAGTAAGGCACTGAAATCATGGTATTCATTGCATTGTGATCTTAAGTAACTGCCTAAAAAATGTAATATTTTTAGATCAACACTGACATGAAAACACAAGTTTAAAAATTCTCATAGAGTATTTGGGCACCCAAGAAAATATTCCAAAGATCCCTGTACTAGATACACTTAAGTGTAGAACCATAGTTGATAAGAATGTGTTACAGTAAAATATTTATTGGTCAGAAACTTGACTTTCAGCATTCTAGATGGTATAGACACCTGAAAAATAGGTTCTAGGTTATTGGTCTACAGATTCCCCATTCACATCCTTGTAGCAGGAACCACAAAATCTCAGGGAAACTCTTCTTGTAGTATTTTGATGACACATCCCCCTCCTATTTCAACAAACTTTTTTTAAGAGACTTCATTTCTAAAGAATTCACTGACTTAGCTGTTACTCTGTTCTGTTTGTTTAAGACATTTCTTATTTTAACACCCTTGAAAAGATGTTTATCTAAAACCTGCGTATGTTACATTGATCTGAGCTTTATATATGTAACCTGGTAATGCTGGTGTACTAGATTTAAAAGTTGCCACTATCTATAACTTAGATTTTTCTTGATATTTAAAATAAAAATACATTCCTATGTGTACCGTTTAATAACAAAAACACTCCTGAATTAAGGTGAAAGATATTTACCTGGGTATATACCAAAATGGTTGATAATTACTTTTTGTTAATATGGCCATACTGTGCATAAGCATTTATATCCTGACTTTCTGTTATTGAGCATATTTCCAACAGTAATATGTCTGCACCATTGTTTGTAATAGGTATGTACTATCTATAGATATACACCATAATTTTATTAAACTATTGTTCTACTGAACTTTTAACATATTTAAATTTTTTCCTGCTGAAAGCAAATACTATGATAGAAATTTTTTTGCACCCAGCGTTTTTTTTAACATAGATGACTAAAAAGGAATTGGTGAGTCAAATATCACAACATTGTTATGCTTTTAATTCAGAATACCAAATTGATTTCCAAAAAGTTGTGTCCATAGAACTAGAAATGTGTGAAACTATTAGTTTTATCCTATCCTCACCAAGTTTGGGAATTGTTACTTTTTATTCTAGTGAGTTTCAGTATTTTCTTTTTTTTTTTAACAAGATGCTTTTGAAATAATTAACTTCCAATCATATATTAGAAAAGAGATTCAAAATGATAACCAAAATTTTTAAGTAATAATATTTCTCAGAAAGATTGTTTGAAATTTTTTTTCCATCTCTAGGGAAAATGTGGAAAGTTTAAGAGGTATGTGGCCCATAGTACACATGTCACAAATGTTCGCTGGACTTATGATGACAGCATGTTGGTTACCTTAGGAGGTGCAGATATGTCTTTAATGGTTTGGACAAATGAAATGGAGGGCTATCGAGAAAAGAGGCCTTGTGATAGTGAAGAATCTGACATAGATTCTGAAGAAGATGGGGGTATGTCACTTTAAAATATTTTATTTTAACAAAAACATAGAGAAAATTTAGCACACTTATTTAAACTGTAGAAGTTAAAGTAATAATAATGTTTGAAAAGTTGTGGTTTTAGTCTTTGGGGTCTATTTAACACCAAAATTGGTTTTATAACTCTAAAATAACAGGCTGACAAGTATTGATGACTTAGATATTCTTCACCTACAAATGTATGATAATCATACTTTAATTACTATTAAAATTAATTTTATAGTATTGAACCTCATATTTTAAAATAATTTTATATTTTTCTACAGTAATGCCAGTTCATTAGAGAAAAATTAGAAAATATACTTTGTAATAGAAAAACAGCATTCATAATGTGACCACTCAGAGGTCACCTCTGTGAATATTTCTGCTGCTTTCAGTTAGTAATACTTTGAAACTATTGTTATGTATCATTTTTACTCACTGTATGTTATTTCATAATTTGGCTAACAGTTTATTTAATCTATTTCATATTGTTAAACATCATTGTATCCAATTTATAACATCATTGTATCCAATTTATAAGATCATAAGCTCCTCAGTTATAATTTAGAGAATAATTCTTATATTTTGATGGTAGGTTATGACAGTGATGTTACAAGGGAGAATGAAATCAGTTACACCATCAGAGCCTTATCAACAAATATTCGCCCAATGTTTGGAATCAAGCCTCATTTGCAACAAAAAGAACCCTCAGTTGATGAGAGGTAACAATCAAGTTTAAAACTAGATGAAGAGAAAGATATTGGCATTAAAAATTGAATTTATTGCAAAAACTAACAATGACACTCTTGCATTTCACAATTCCCAGAACCTCATAGAAAATGGGTTTGTTCTTAAATACTTTTTGGTGGTCTTTTCCAAGTTGTTGAGGGAATCATACTATATATAAAGTCTGTATGGTTAAAGGAATCTTATTTGCTCACCATTATAATATGTGATGGAGTTGCAGGAGATAATAAAAACTGAATCCAGTGCCACGTCTGTTTTAGGAAGCATGTGAGCAGAGAGGTAATTAAATTCTGAAAAGGCCTTTCAGTCCATGTTTCTTTAATCAAGGATAGAAAATAATTATTTTGAAAAATTTCCCAAAAGGCCAGTTGGAGTATAGTTTGTCTCTAATTGGAATTTTTGGTGTTTGTCTAGAACCAGCAAATCAAAAAGAAGGCTGTGTGCACAACAATTTTATGAGAGGAACTATTTAGTCTTGATGCTAATAACAGATCAAGAGAGAAATTGTGAACCTGTGTTTTAAAAATCATCAGGGAATATAGAAAACAAAAAAGAAGCATATGGTCATGGATGGCATGGATTTCAGAAGCAGAGACTTTAAGAAATGATAAAGAAAAAATTACCTAGAAATTGCAGTGAGTAACAAAGGACTGGGAGGTGGTAATAGCAATGGCCTCTTCTGTCGAAAGCTGTGATAAGGAAAACTTTATTATGCGATGTTAGTAAGAGTATCGCAGAGAAAAAGTAAAAATGAGAGGGAATTTGTTCACACTGAACAGAATTGCTGAATGTCTAGTCAGTTAGGGTAGTGCTGAGTAGACTATTGGCGCTCAGCTAGATAGAAATGGTATCACCAGAAATCACTGGCAGAGGGATGTGAGTTTGCACCGATAGGTTTGATATTCAGGGAAAAGGATTAAGTTGGAAGGGTTAGATACATGCTGTTGATGGAGAAGAGGAGAAGTAGGGATTCTGTTGAACTGACCAAGACTGTCACCTAAATAAAGGGGGTAGAGGATGGTTATCATGCATGAAGAGGTAAACTACTAAACGGGGGAGATGTTTCAGGAAAGCCGACCACATATTCACGGTTGGAGCAACTGTGTAGGACGTAGTATCATACAGTGCAAAGGGCATCATTTTGGAGTCAGAGAAATGGGTTAAAATATCCATTTTTCTCATTTACCTGTTATGTGACCTTGGAAATCAATTCTCTCTCAGCCTCAGTTTCCTCAGAGGTAAAATGAGCATTATAATCCCTAATTTACGGATTCAGTCATAAAATGAAATTATATATACATAAAGAGTTTCAGTACTAAATACCCTCCCTTGGAAGAGAGATACTTGGTTAATAATGAAACACTTTCTGAAATTCAGTTTCCACAAAGTAATGATCACTACGTATATGTTTATTTTTTGGAACACTACATAAAATTATGCAAATATGGATGTTTCTAATTAGCGTATTTGTAGCATGGCTCTTAATATTATGTAAAAAACACTATATTTCATAAGGATAAAGTTAACAGTATTCTATAGGAAAGAACTCTAGATATTCCCATAAGTCTTTTTTATTTTTATATTGATTACTTAAAGGAAAACAGTATCATTTTATCAGATAAATTAGGTCTGTCGGAAAATGTGACCTAATTTTCATCTGGCGGTCATCATTCGTGGTGAAACACTTAAACTTCCTCCCTCCTCACTGAAGTGACCCAAATTCTGACAGGTGGAAATAGTTTACAGCTCATGAAAAATGGTTGACACTGTCATAATTTAATCTTTGCTGTCAGCATTCACTTTTTAGAGCTAATTTTTAAAAATTTATCTTTGAAATTATTTTGCATTTCATTCTCATTTTACAATTGCAGCTGTACCAGATTCCTTAGAAAATGTTGACGCAAAAGTCATAAATGTGACTCATAGTTAAGTCTTCATTTTCATAAAATGAAAGAATGTAAGGAGAAAAACATGAAGAGAGATTTCTTTTTATGAACTTTGTATATATTTGTGAGGAGATAATACAGTCTGTATAAATAAAATGTATTTTAAATAAAACATATTATTGCCATAAATTATGAAACAAAACACTTTATAAACAGTTAAATGCTTGTCAAATATCCACTTAAAAGGAAAATTTTTCTGATGACAGTTATTACTTGGTTGATAGTTTTGGTGTGGCCTTTTTCCATAAGCAACTTTAATAATTTTATGTTTTTATTTCTCTACAAATGTTTTTGTAGCAAATCTAATATATTTAAAGTAATTGCTATCAAAATCAAATTTTTTAAATAAAAATATTCAGTGCAGCATAAAATTTAGGCATTTTTTAATTTCCTTAGAATTCTGTTGACATGTATCCTTTATTATGTTTACTAAACTGCTACATTTTATTCATCATCAGTTTTCATATATATTTCCTTACTTTTTCCCTCTTGCTCCTGTTGAAGGCAGGGCATAGTAAGGTAAGTGGTTTATTAAATAAAATATTTTATTCCAAAATTTATCCTTTGTTCTATTTTTATCTTTATATTATTTTAAGATACTGATATTTTTCCCCTAGAAAACACTGAAGTACATTTGTTAAGAAAGAATTAGAAAGTACAGTAAGATAAATCCTACAGAAAAGTTGCATTTTTATATATATAGTTACGTGGGTGTTGCTATGAGAATCTTCATTATGATCATTTGTTTTTACAAATTACTTTTCACAAACTCCTGTACTCTAGAAAGTCTGAATTTTTTTCCTTAAGTTTTAGAGGCTCATAAAAACAGTTATCACATATTCATGAATGAAAAATTATTCAGTTCATAAACCTGTTAAGTTCATTGATGCATATTTAATATAGTTGTTTTAAAACAGCATAGGACAGAGATGATGAAATTGTATGTGTATTAAATGGTATGTTTTAAGAAAAGATTCTTGAAACTACTTTTACAGCTACTTTTAGTGAAATGACAATGTCTTCAGACAGTTTCTGAAACAGGACAATGTGGAAAAGGCTAATCTATTTTAGAAGTAAAAAAAGGTACCATTAGGAACATGCTGGAGGATAAGGATGAAAAAGTAGATTTGAGACGAGATTGTGCAGAAGCTCACGTATTAGGCACTCCTTAATTAATTTGGCAGACAGTAGACATCCATCATCTGTTTTAAATAGAGGGTGATGTATGAAAAGGTATGAGTCTAGAGTATAATGTAATTTATAAAAAGGACCATATAATCACATACTATGTTAACAGAAATAATACTTAGACAGTTTCCTAGGATGCAGATCTAGCCACAGATCTGAGGTAGCTTATTCAAGACTGATCTCTGCATTTTAAAGGGACATTGAGAGTGTACAGTTGTCTAGAAGGAAGACAGGATGTAGGAAGGTTGGGAGGTCACGGGTATGTCTTGGGTATGAATGATTTTTACGTAGAAGTGACCTTGCTGTCACAAGCATTTTTCATGCAGAGTTTAGATGACCATTTGTCATTGGTGATACAAAGGAATGTTCTAGACATATAAAGGGGGTTCCTGGTTTCAGTAGTAGGATGGATGAGATAACTTCTGTTATCTCTCCCAATTCTGTTTTGGTCATTACATTACTAAAGATTTTTTTTTCTTTAAGCTACCTTCTTTACTAGCAAAATCCCAAATCCAGCATGGTCTTGAATGGCTCACTTTATCTGTTGGGTTGGACTGACTGACTGCAAACCTCTCTTGGGTCAGAGTTAGAGCAGCTTAGCCTGATAAGGAGGAGCAAAGATAAGCTTCAGCGTTTTGTTTGAAATTCATATAGCACTGCGGAAAAAGAAGAGTGACGAGCTTTTAATGTTTACAGCATAGAACATGTTGAATTCTCATTTTTCTTTCTTCACCTTTTTTCTTCTGATTTCCCTGCCAATAATGGAGTAACTTAAGTCTTTTCTTATATACAGTAATAAATTTTAAATAAAAATCACCTTTAATGTATGCAGTATGGTTTATCTGTATTAACCTTGTAAAAGTATTTTATTACAGAAATATTTTACTAGTATTTTAAGTTCAAATTTGTGTTGTCATTTTTTCCCTTTTTTATCTGCTGCTGAAAAGAGGTTCCAGGTAATCCTCTCTTTGCTCTGCTTTTTGAGGCCTAATTATGTATTTTTATCATCTTTCATACTAGCCATTAATGAACTATATTACTTGGTGTTCTTTAGCCCTATTTTACAGTTTTCCACATTTTTCTCTTTGAAATCAGTATCCAAAAATGAATAGCATCTTAATTATTGGGTTTATACTACATAAGTAACTGTTTTACTATAAATTTATCCATTCAATTTGTATAATTATATAAGTTCTATAATTTTTACTTAAATAATATATATTTAAATTATTTCTATAAAAATTAAAATATGCTTAGCTGTTACACTGGTTTGTGTAGATAAAAATTACCTTTTAGGATTATAATTAAAGCTGTTAGGTGATAACATTGAATAAAGTTTATCAACAAAACTGACTTGGAGGGAGAAACATTTTTAAAGGTTAAATTTTATAAATTCAACTGTATTTATTATAGCATCAAAAAATATATATGAAAAAAGTTTGAAACCAAAATTTCTGCCATAATTTGAAAAGTTCTTTATACATTCTTGCAAGTACTTTTAATTTTCATGTCATCAGTCATGCTTATATACTTGTAAATGCTAAATACTGCTTCATATCACATACGAAATGCACATTTATTTTATTTTACATGTTCAAAATATAACACTTCATTAACTTTTTGTAGATGTATAACTTGAAAATCATTTTAAAAATGCAAATATATTTTTATGCCTTTAATTTTATGGACTTAATCATAAATGTTGGATTTTTTTCCACAGGAAAGTTGACTTGTATCATTTCCTGATTTAGTTGCTACAAATTGAATATTAACTTAAAAACTGGAGGGGAGGAGTTGATACATGATTGATTTAAATTTAGAGTTCAGGTTAAGTTTATTAAATATTTGAATAGTGGTTCATGCATTGAATAGTGAGATACACAATTAAACTAAATCAGGTGGGTTTTTTAAAAAAAATTAAAGGGTTTTAGGAAGGAGCATCCCCATCTATACAACTAATGGAACATTATAAAGAGATCTTGCACAAGCAGTGGCAACAGAGAAGAAAGGGCTAGATGTGTGAGCTACTCTGTAGGTAAAGTTGATAAATGTTTAGTAGCTAGAATAAGGAAAGAGAAGGAGTTGGAGTAACTACTTTTTACAAAGTAGGATGGATGAGATAACTCCTGTTATCCCAATTCTGTTTTGGTCATTACATTATTAAAGGTTTTTGAACCTTTAATATGAATGACTATTCAAATATTTAATAAACCACAAAGAGTATATGTATAGTTTTATAACTGTAAAATGTCCTGTTTGACTGATGATGTCATTAACCATACTAGAGACTTCAGGAAGAAGAAAAGGTAAGGGGCACAGAGGAGCAGGTAATGGGCACAGATTTGAACTCAGACAAAAATGAATGAAAGTTCTAATATTTTCTTTCCACCCTCCTGTTTTAGAAGATGTCAAGATAAAGAGGGCATGGTCTAGTAAGGAGCACAGGTTGGGTGAAGGTGTGTCAGACATCTTTGTCTGGAGGGCAGGCAAGGGAAGCTCAGTGACTGTGCCCAGTGATGGGGCCTTTCCTGATTACTACTTCCCTGTTTCAGGCCCCCTGTGAGCAGGGCCCCACCGCAGCCAGAGAAACTCCAGACAAATAATGTAGGCAAGAAAAAGAGACCTATAGAGGTAAGGAAAGCCTATTCCCCAGTGTTAACTCGTACTTTAAAGTATATCTAAAGTTCATTCTATTTCCTTTCTGTAAAACACCCAAATGTTGGCATTAACTTTTATGAAAATGAACGTACTGAATTCATCTTCTTTATTTGGTTGTAAAAAGTGATTGCTTAACTATCAAGTGTGAGTTTTTAACTGATACCCTGTTTCTTTTTATTTTTTTTACTCTTTTAATTTTCCATGAATAATACCCTTCATTGAATAGTATCTCAGAGAACTTCTAAATGTAAATATATGTAAATACATGTCTTACAGAAGTACAGGCACCTTGGCAGTGTCTTATACTTAGTGGTTTGAATTTATTATTAGAGATTTAATACTTATACCAAATCAGAATCTTTCCCCCATGCAGTATATTCACTGTAGGGTGCAATAGTCTGCTTCCATCCAAAGAAACCTTCCAGAATATTCGAGCAAGAAAGAGAGTTCTCCCAAGCATTTCACAATCCCAGGGTCAACAGCAAAAAACAAATTGTGCTAACAGGTCAAAAACAAGGTGTAAATCTGTGAGAAGGTAATTGTTGTACTCCTTCCCCCACTCAGCCTCATAAGGTCAATGAAAATGAACACTTTCAGTAGCAAAATAACCTGCTAGAACTTTAGCATGAGTTACCACAGATGGTACTTAGTTTTGTGCATGGACGCTGATGTACTGTTTGTATTCCTAAAGAGTATATCCCTTGGGCAGAATGTATCCTGAGTTATGTATGCATTTTAGATATTTTTACTAACAGTGAACACAAACTGAAGTATTTTTTTGGACACAAGATATCTCAATATTGAACACATGACGTCTTAAGAACTGAAAATCTTGGAATCAGATGACCTTGTGATTCCCTTTTCCTTTTTATAACTTTCTGCAGAAGTTTTATGTTTCAGCTGCTCAAAGCAGGTTGTGTAGAGAAGTATGTCTAGCTTAATTTTGTGTTCGAAGTTTGTAAAAGATGAAAAATGTACCCTCCATTTTGACTGATGACACCAATACTGTATCAGAAACAACTTCACATTTAGTAATGGTTTTATCATTGTTTTAGGACCTAGTGTTGGAGCTTGTTTTTGGCTATCGAGGAAGAGACTGTAGGAATAATGTTCACTATTTAAATGATGGTGATGATATAATTTATCACACTGCGTCCATTGGAATTCTACACAATGTTGCTACAGGTAGGAAACCCTGATTCTCCATCCCCCATGTTTTTCTTTTTTGTTTCCTTGCATTTATTATATTTTTAATGAAGTGTAGTTGATATACAATATTATATTGGTTTCAGGTATATACATAGTGATTCAACAGTTACACACACTAGGAAATGCTCACCACAATAAGTATGGTTACCATCTGTCACCACACAAAGATATTACGGTAAAATTGACTCTATTCCCTACACTGTACTTTTCATCCCTGACTTACTTATTTTATAATTGGAAGTCTGTCACTCTTTATCCTCCTCACCTATTTCATCCATTACCCCAACCTACCTCCCCTACAGCAAACACCTTGCTTCTGAATCTATTTCTGTTTTATTTACTCATTTGTTTCATTTTTTAGATTCCACATGTAAGTGAAGTCACATGGTATTTGCTTTTTCTGACTTATGTCACTTAGGATAATACCCTCTAGGTTCATCCATGTTGTCACAAATGGCAAGGTTTTGTTCTTTTTAATGGGTAATAATTCCATTGTACATCTTCTTTATCCGTTCATCTATCAGTGTCCACTTAGGTTGTTTCCATATCTTGCCTATTGTAAATAATGCTGTGATAAATGTAGTGGTTCATATATCTTTCTGAAGTAGTGATTTTGTTTTCTTCAGGTAAATTGCCAGAAGTAGAATGGGTCTATGGTATATCTATTTTTAATTTTTTGAGGTACTTCCATACTGTTGTCCATGTTGGCTGCATATGCCACATTGCCTGTACCAGTTTACATTCCCACCAGCAGTGAGTGCATAAGGGTTCCCTTTTCTCCACATCCTTGCCAACACTTGATATCTTTTGGTTTTTTGTATTATCCATTGTGACTGCTGTGGGGGGATATTTCCTGTGGTTTTGATTTGCATTTTCTTGATGATTAATAGTATTGAGCATCTTTTCATGTGTCTCTTGGCCATCTTTATGTCTTCTTTAGAAAAATGTCTACTTATGTCCTCTGCCCATTTTTTTTTCCTCATTCCGGTCTTTTATTACATTTTTTTTTTTGAGAGGGCATCTCTCATATTTATTGATCAAATGGTTGTTAACAACAATAAAATTCTGTATAGGGGACTCAATGCACAATCATTCATCCACCCCCAGCCTAATTCTCGTCAGTCTCCAATCTTCTGAAGCATAACGAACAAGTTCTTACATGGTGAACAAATTCTTACATAGTAAATAAGTTCTTACATGGTGAACAGTACAAGGGCAGTCATCACAAAAACTTTCGGTTTTGATCGCTCATTATGAACTATAAACAATCAGGTCAAATATGAATATTCGTTTGATTTTTATACTTGATTTACATGTGAATCCCACATTTCTCCCTTTATTATTATTATTATTATTATTTTTTTTTTTTTAAATAAAATGCTGAAGTGGTAGGTAGATGCAAGATAAAGGTAGAAAACATAGTTTAGTGTTGTAAGAGAGCAAATGTAGATGATCAGGTGTGTGCCTGTAGACTGTGTGTTAATCCAAGCAATAAAACATCCATGGATGCAGAAGATTTCTCTCAAAACGGGAGGTGAGGTTCTAAGCCTCACCTCTGTTGATCCCCAATTTCTCACCTGATGGCCACCCTGCGACTGTGCCTGTCTTAGGTTGTTCCTCCCTTGAGAAATCTTACCCGTCTCTGGCTAACCAGTCATCTTCCAGGGCCATACAGGGAAATGTAAAGTTGGTAAGTGAGAGAGAAGCAATATTGTTTGAAAAGGTTAGCTTTTTACTTCTTTGCAGATTTATGCCCTGTGGTTTCTATGCCCAGCATTTGTCTTGAGGTATCTTTACCACTTGGCCTCTGCCCATTTTTTAATTGGATATTTTTTCTTGGTGTTGAGTTATATGAGTTCTTAATATGTTTTACATATTAATCCCTTGTTGGATGCATCATGTGCAAATATATTCTCCCATCCAGTAAGTTTCCTTTTTGTTTTGTTGATGGCTTCCTTTGTTGTGCAGAAGCTTTTTAGTTTAATACAATTTTGCTTGTTTATTTTTGCTTCTGTTTCCCTTGCTTGGGGAGACATATCCAGAAACAATTACTAATGCCATATGTTTTCTTTAAGTAGTTTCATGGTTTCAGGTCTTACATTTACAGCTTTAATCCATTTTGAATTTATTTTTGTTTATGGTATAAAACAGTGGTCTAGTTTTATTATTTTGCATATAGCTGTTCAATTTTCCCAACACTAGTTTATTAAAAAGACTGTTTTTTCCATTGTATATTCTTGCCTTTGTCATATATTAATTGACCATATCAGCCTGGGTTTATTTCTGGATTCTCAATTCTATTCCATTTATCTGTGTGTCTGTTCTTGTGCCAGTATCATACTGTTTTTATTACTATAGCTTTATAGTATAGTTTGAAACCTGGGAGTATGATACCTTCAGCTTTGTTCATCTTTCTCAAGATTGCTTTGGGTATGTGGGATCTTTTGTGGTTCCATACAAATTTCAGGATTATTCTAGCTCTGTAAAAACTACCATTGGTAGTTTGGTAAGAATTGCATTGAATCTGTAGATTGCTTTGGCTAGTATGATCATTATAACAATATTCTTTCTATCTATGACATGGAAAATCTTCATTTGTTTGTGCCATCTTCAGTTTATTTCATCAGTGTCTTAACAGTTTTCAGAGTGTAGGTTTTTCACCTCCTTGGTTAAAATTGTCAATAGGTATTTTGTTCTTTTTCATGAAATTGTAAAGGGAATTATTTTCTTGATTCCTCTTTCTGCTAGTTGGTAATTTTATATAGAAACATAAAAGATTTCTTTATATTGATTATGTATCTTGCAACTTTACCAAATTTACTTATTAGTTCCAAAGCATCCCCACTTTTAGTTTAAAGTTTATTTAGCCTCTCAAAATTCTTTCTTTTAAAACTATAAATAAATAAAATTCATGAATCCAGAATATAAACATTTCTTAGTGTAGAACTTTCTAGTAATATTTAAGGTAACCAAATTTGCCATCTTGAGTATAACACAGCAGAAAAAAATTTCATAATGCAGAGTGCTCACAGGCCTCTATTTAAAAGTGAAGGTTTTGCTGTATGTTGAAGCCATGTTTTATTGTGAAACCATTTGTATCTTTATTCTATTTCCCCATAACTTTAAAATGAAAATAGTTGGCTTCCCGGTTGTCTCTAATAGTTAGTGACTAAAGGTAGCATGTTGGATGAGTGATTGCTAGGGAGTGGGGTGAAGCAGGTGTGCTTACTGCGGCCTTGGAAAGCCAAGGAAGATGGAAAGAAAGCTACTTGCCTAATGGCTCTGTTGATGATATTGTGTTTGATTCAGGGAGGTGAGAAAATATTCTTAATGTTTATTTAACTGATTGGATTATGGAAAAGCAAATTAAGTTCTGTAGCATCACTGGATGACCAGTAATTTGATAATCTTACTGGTGCCATTCATTATTTAATTTTGAGTTCTATTCTATTACATATGATTGTAAACTTCATAAAGTCTGAGAGTTGGAAGTAAAAATCAAGGTTACCTAGTCCAAACATATATGTTTTTTTCCTCTTATAACTTTACTCTGAATACATAAAGACTGGACTATGTGAGTTATAATCCCCTGCCCCTGGTGTCAGTATTAATCATTAATATATCTCTGGTTGCTCATGTGAAACCTTCATAAGATTGTATATCAATGATACCTTAATAAAAAATATATAGAAAAAATATGATATCTCTGTTTTGGTTTCCTAAAGAAAAGGTTTGTTCACCAAGTACACACAGAAATCAATGGTGATTCTCTATTTAATACTTTGGGTTATTTAAAAAATATCACTTAGAAAATCCTTTCTAAGATTTTGGGTATGAGACTTCACATAACCTTTAAAGAGAATAAACAAGAATAAGAAAAGATGTACTAAACAAGAATGTGTAAATACACTTTCCTGTCTATACTTGTAAATTGTTTTATTTTTAATTTTCTGATTTGTAGTTAATCACCCTTATACCAGTGCGGTGTAGAGAGAGAGGGCAGAGAGAGACTAGGCACCTGGTCTAGTTCTGATTTGCGCCTCTCTCCAGTTCAGAGATTCATTGCCATGTTCACAGTTTAGGAAGTCTTGATTTATCAGCTGATCTTCTTCTAACTTAACCAACAGCACATATAATTACTGGTTTGTTCCTTTAACTGAACTCTCATCCCTAGAAAATATGAAGCACCTTTCACTTCAAGAAGAAATTTTAAAGTAATATTGGATCTGTTAAATGTCATTGTTAAGTTGTTTTGTTTTTCCTTGCTTTTTAGAGGACCTAGTGTTGATAGCCCTCTGTAATCTGGACCCACCCTACAATCCTGACCTCATTTCTCACCTCTCCATTTTACTTGCACAGCCTACCTATGTTACCGCCTGCTTGGTCATAGTCTGCTTACATCTCTTCACTGTCACTACTATTAGGTGAATCACATTACTTTGATCAAAATTCTTCAGTACCTACCCACTGACAACAGAATAAATATGAAATTTAAGGCTGACATTCAATATCCTGATAATTCCAGTTTCAATTTACCTTTCCAACCATATTTCTCACTTTTCTTCTTCATGGCCCTACATTTCCTCCAAATGAGCCATTTATATGCATTTCCCATACTTTCCTGCCATTGTACCGTTGCTTCAAGTATCCCTTTACATAGCATGCCCTTCTCCACCCACCTTCACATTTGCATCGTCTGTCATGTCAGTGCAGAAGTGCCTTATGCCCATGATGAGAATCTTTTCTGCTACAAATACCCACAGCATTTTGAACTTTAACTCTTCTCTGGCACTTGATGTCTTTATCCTCTTATTACGTGGTTTTTCGCCTTTCAGGGCTTTATCCCTTTAAAGACTTCTGAGTCATTTTTCCATCCTTAAAGTAATGTGCACATACTAAGTGCTCAAAAATATGCATAAAATAACTCAAACAGAGCAGTTTATTGCTCTGGATAAGTGCATTTGGCTGTTATACCTTAAAGTTTCTAAATTTCATTCTCATTCTTTATTTATAGGGACTCAGAGTTTTTATCAGGAACATAACGATGATATTCTGTGCCTCACAGTAAATCAGCACCCCAAATTTATCAATATAGTAGCAACTGGCCAAGTAGGTATGTTTCTATATTTTAAAAATAAACAATTTAAAATAATTGTCTTGTTCAAGTAATTCACTGTCCTAGGAAAAAATTAAAATATATTTGTGTATTGTTCAAAATGTATTTGTACAGAAAGCACAAACCCGGTATTATCATATTATTTTACCAGGTCCCTTTCTTTCACTTTGGTTATCTGAGTTGGTTTGGGCAGTTCGGAATTTAGAATACACTGTTTTATGGTTGTTGAAATAGTTGAATTTAGTCCATTAGCCGAAATTTCTGATCAGCCAAAAGGCTCAATTTAATAGCAGATAAAGCAGGAAGGAAAAATTTGAGGAGGAAATGGTAGATAAGGGGAACCAAGAAATAAGTAGGCGGAGGAGAGAATGCCAGCTTGAGCAAGGGCTATGTTAGAAGGAAGATGATAGCTGAGTCTCTTCCAGGCTGGGACCCCCCTTCTGCCTCTATATTTTCTTTGGCAACCATCTAATTTGCCAACTGTTTTGAAATCACCTGTCTTGTGGCCTTCTTTTGACTCTATAGAAAACATAAGCAAAGGCCATACTTCAAGCAAAACTGTGAGAGGAAAGCAGGTCTATTTAGGACATATCTACCAGTCAGTGATCATTATGAATACTACATAATAGATCTGAACAAATAGATCTTCACAACTCTGAGATAGTTTGTAAAAATGATGGAAATCATTGTGTTTGTCAGACCTCAGTGGCCCACACTTGATAAGCCAGCTTTCCAGGTGTCTTTTTCTTCGTGAAGATAATTTATGCTTTAATATCTCCATTTTTCATACAAGGACTAAACTGATCAGTTAGAAACTTGATCTCTAGGTTGCTTAGTTCTGCAGTCATACCACAAAGACCCTACATTCTTCCTTTCTGTAAAGTTTTCTACTTTTGTAAAGAAAGACCAGTACTTCACCCATTATATACAAAATATTCTGATCTTTGAATTTAAGTACATAAGTCTATCCTTTTTTGTGCCAAGCTTTTTAAAATTGAAGTCTTATTTTTACTCTGCGTAAGGAATGAGAGACCATGTTACTACTCTGGTTGCAAAAACACCTAGTTCAGTGCCTCTCTGCATATAGTTATTGCTCAATTAATTTTTATTGAGCAAATTCATTTATCTAGGGAACTTACTGAGCACCTACATGTGTGAGGTATTGTTCTAGGTGTTGGAGGTACATGCAGATTACAAAAAATAAAAAATAAAAGCACTGTTAATGGAATTCACATTCTGTGTATAGAATTCTAGAAGTTTTGGTTCTTTCATTTCCCAACTTTTCTCCTTCTCCGTGTCTTCCCCATTCTCTCTCTTTTAAGCAACTTTAACGTGTTAGTGCTGTGGTTTTCTCTTCTGATTAGGAAATTTCATGTTCACAAATTAATCTTTTATGAAATTTGACTTTCTATTTCTTTCCTCTTTTTATTGAAACATAATTGACATATAACATTGTATTAGGTTCAGGTGTACAACCTAATGATTTGATATTTGTATTCCTTCCTTTTATTTTGAAAGCCAACACTGTAGAGAATGTGGAATGGCAAATGATCTCCCCTCTCTCTCCTCCCGGGTCCAGGCAGCACAGAGGTGAATCTTAGATTGTATATGTAGCCCCATCCCTTGCCCCCCTTGTACCCTTCCAAAAAATTCTTTACTGATGACTAAGTGTAAGATAGACTTAAAAGAAGACCAAAGAGTGAGGAACTTTTTCTCTTCTGAATGTAAAAAGAATTGAATCGGTAGTTACTTTGCCTACCAAGCTTGTTTAATATGCACAAAGCACAAAACACTGTCTAAAATGCTTATGGTTCTCTTTGTTAAGAATCAAATAGATTATAGAAGTATTGAAATACTTGCCTTTGTGGAATTTTAGCCAGTTACATTCAAACTTTTCATTTTCTTGGCTAGAATCTTGGAATCATAGAGCCAAATTTATCATTTTATCCAGCCCATCATTAGATGTTTGAATCTCCTCCGTAACATCTCTCTGATCAAGGGCCCTCCTACTTATGCTTGAAACCTGTCATCATTTAATGCCTAACAAAGTAGTCTAACCTCTTCCCAGGAAGGTTTGTTATAAAGTTCTTCATATAGAACAGAAATCTGTCTCTCTTTAATTGCAACTCATTGGAATTTATTCTTGGATAACCTAAAAGAGCAAATCACTTATTTCCGTGAAATTAGCTTCTAGTATTTGGAGAGAACTATTGTATTTTTCTGAGTATAATGTAGTACTCTCCTTTTAGAAGGCTCACTGTGGACACCCTTCAACTACATTCCATGAGACAAAGAGTACATGAGAGCAACGGGATTACTTTCCATGAACGAACCAGCATCCCCACTGGATCCATGCTTTATATATCTGAAACCCCAGAATTCTATCAAGTGGCCCGAAACCCACTTGTGGGCCTCTTCTCTGAGTCTGTGCTCCCACTGTAGATTGTGCAACCAATGTGAGCTCTCTCGAGGGGTGGCCAAGGGCAGCTGCTCGCTGGGATGATGGTGGTGGAGTTTTGATGTGCAGGCTGGAATAACCACTCATGAGCTTCCCTGGCTCCCTGTGGTGTGGGATAAAACTGAGTGGGAAGAGAAGGAGGACAGGCTAAGGCTGTCTCATGCTGCCTAAAACTCTAGGGAACTTTTTGAACCAGTCCTTCCAGATGATTATAGAGGTATACTTGTCAATATGGAGATATACTATGTCAATATGGAGAGAACATATTTCATTTAATAATTTGATCTCAATTGATAACTTTAAAATATTTAGGCCTGTGATACTTAGGTCTTCATTTGTACCCTTTTCCCAGGCCCTGCAGATATTCAGGGACAAGCCTGATCTTCAGACCAAACGCCCCTAGTCTTTCTACCATTCTGCATGTGGCATAGTTTCAAGTCCTCTCACCACTTGGTGGTTACCAGAGCATAATGCGAATGAAATGTGACATCTCCTGAGCTTTCTGCCTAGCAGAGTCAGTACTTCATTCTCCATTCGCTCAGACTCCAGGTCAGGACACTGTAGGCCTACATGAACAATATATCCTTGAATCACTGTTTCACAGAGATAAAGGATAAGGCTCTACCAAAGCCAAAAAACTCCTAAATTTTCATTCCTTTTTTTCTTGCTACAGACTGTTAGTGCCTCTAAAACTTTGGTTAATAAGTATTTCTACCACAAACATAACAAGCAGAGGCCTTCATGGTTTCTTTTTTGGCACTATTTTACTCATACTGAAAATGTTTAAAAAATTTTAAGAAAGGGGTTAATTTGTGGCCTAAATTAAGAACTTTCTTGAGTTACATGGTAACTTTTACCTTTATTTCTCTCAAAAGCTTTAAATCTAATTCTTCTCTGCATGAACAGAGGCATTAAAACTCCAAAGGGTCTATTAATGGGGCATTTTATAAAACACAGTAAGGGTCATATCAATGTAAATCATATCAATGTTAGTTTTTAAATTGTTACAATTAAAATTTCATGCAACTCATTAAATAAAAAGAAGAGTAAGTTTTGGCCCAAAGATTAGGAGGTTATAAACATGGAATGTTAATATGTATAATTGAAATGAGTGGCTTCATTTACAGTTTACTCAATTTAACATAATAAATTTAGTTTTGCATATGACTGTTATTTAAATCACTTTAAAATTACTTATAATAATTATTTATAAAGTTTTCTTTTAGTGTTTATGTTACTTTTTGATAATTATTTTCCTGCTTTTCCATTATAGGTGATTTAGCAGACATGTCAGGTAAGGAAAACTAGTCACTTTCTATTTAGCCCAGATTTTTGTAGAGTAATTAAATACTTAGGTTGAACCTATTTTGGATCTTTTTTTATATACATCATTTTAGTGCTATGATATTGAGGCCAATCTGCAATAGTAATTGTTTCTTTTAAAAATAAATACCTTTTAACCTTTTTAGTGTGCTAACACTATTGTAAGCACTTTACATGTATTACCTACTTAATCACCACAGGAATTCTTCATGGTAAATATTAACTTGCCAATATCATATGCTGTAAAGTTAGAATTAAAAATTAATCTTAACTATGACTCAATAGATTGTAATTGCCTAAAAGTAAAGTTTTTTTAAACATTATTTTTATATACCATCATCCCAGTTATTGCACATGTTAGATCAACAGGTCATTTAAAGATTTAAAAATAACTTTCTATTCTTGATTTTAACTATGGCTTTATTATAAATAGTTATTTTAACTATGACTTTAAAAATGTATAAGCAATATATGTCCCTTGTTTTTAGATGTTACAATAACTAGTCTTTTTTTTTTTTTTGAGAGGGCATCTCTCATATTTATTGATCAAATGGTTGCTAACAACAATAAAATTCTGTATAGGGGACTCAATGCTCAATGTACAATCATTAATCCACCCCAAGCCTAATTCTCGTCAGTCTCCAATCTTCTGAAGCATAACGAACAAGTTCTTACATGGTCAACAAGTTCTTACATAGTGAATAAGTTCTTACATGGTGAACAGTACAAGGGCAGGCATCACAGAAACTTTCAGTTTTGATCACACATTATGAGCTATAAACAATCAGGTCAAATATGAATATTCGTTTGATTTTTATACTTGATTTAAATGTGAATCCCACATTTCNAAATAACATGCTGAAGTGGTAGGTAGATGCAAGATAAAGGTAGAAAACATAGTTTAGTGCTGTAAGAGAGCAAATGTAGATGATCAGGTGTGTGCCTGTAGACTAAGTGTTAATCCAAGCTAGACAAGGGCAATAAAACATCCACGGATGCAGAAGATTTCTCTCAAAACAGGGGGGGTGAGGTTCTTAACTAGTCTTTTTTGACTCAATTTTCAATTTACATGATATAGTAAGAATTATCAGTTTGATAAAAAACACTTTGTGATTTGTATGTATTTCCTGCCCCTCCTTCAGGTTAAAGCATGATTTTATGATTTTGACTATTCAACTACAAATTTATTCAACACAGCAGGCAAAGGTCCTTGCTCTCTTGGTTCCAGCTCAAGTGGTGGAAAACTACAGCCTTTGGGCCAAATCTGACCCACTACCTGTATACCCCTTGAGCAAACTATAGTTTTTGCAGATTTAAATAGTTGGAAAAAATTAGAAGCATAAAATTTCACAGCATGTGAAAATCCTATGAATTCAAATTTCAGTATCCATATTATTGAACACAACCATGCTGATTCAGCTGGATGTAGAGTCTGCGGTAACTTTGTGCTACAGTAGCGGAGGAGGAGTTAGACCAGTGACTGGGCCTCTCACGACTTGGCATTGCTGCTTGGCACACTTCAGGTCGCAGTGTTGCAGTTATGACATGACAGGTTTTGAGTGCTATGTATGTAGTTACACAACATTTTATTTGTTTCTTTAACCAGTGCTTATCCGTCATGTCAAAACAAGGGGGAAAAAAAGAAAGTAGACTTTGAATGTCACAATTTTAAGACACAGTGAAGTGTGGATTCTATTGTTTTCAAATTATGTAGTAAAACATTGGGTTTATTATGTAATGATACTCTGTGCTAAAAGGATACAGTATATGTAAACATTTTCACACTAAACTTTATCACAATATTCTCAATCACAGGAAAGCAACAGTCAGAAAAATTAAAAAATTTAAAATAGAATACCTCATCACAGCCATTCTTCACAAAAATAAAAAATAAAATGAGGCTACAACCAAAGTAAGTTTCTGGATGGCTTGTTTGTTAACCAGTCAAGAAAAGCTGCTTACTATGAGTTAACTGAATCATGTTTGATTGAAGCAAACATATGTCTAAAGAAAATAAACTTAAGATTATTAACTTTTTGGCAAAAACTGTTGCCAAAAGAGTTGAGGTCTTTGGGAACAATATCAACAGTCAATTAAAAACAAGACCAAAAAAAGGCAAAAAGCTTTTGAGTGGGTTCCCTTGTCTCCTGATGGGTCAGCAGATGTCACCGGTTGGTTTTCTAAGGGATCAGTGTTTTTTCTCATTACACAAATATCTTAAATTTTGTCTGTTAATCTGACTCTTTATAGAGTTTGCCAACTCCTCCTCTAGAGGGAAACAGGCAATAAGTAAATATTTTTTAATAGTATGATCTGAAATGGTGATAAAAACAACGAACAAGATGGTGATTTGATAATAAACAACAAACAAGATGATAGCAAAGTTATTTGTTTTTTCTCAGAGGTGGTAATATTTAGCTAGGCCAAGAATGTTAAAAAAAATGAGAATGGAAGAATGAACAGGGGGCTCTCGACTGAGGCCTGTTTTGGGCAGTCCCAAGACTACCCACACATTCAGTGATTAACAAGAAAGAATTGCAGAACCCAGCAATAGTTAGGGCTGTAGTTTCTTACAGTGATCAGTAAGGGAAAAAGACACACCAGTGGTCCCTAGAGGATCCAGGCACAGGCTTTGTCTCCCCCAAAATACTCCGCCAGGGGTCAGACAAGCTGCTGCTTCCACCGTCAGCCAGATTCAGCAGCGAAGGTACAATGTTTCTGATCTTGGAAGCCCACTTAAGATTGGGAGCCCAGGGTTTTTTACTGTGGGCCTGTCACATAGGCACAGACCAGCTACAGCTACTGAAATACCATAGTCCCAGAGGAAAGCAGGACTTCAGTACCCCAGGTGGACAAAACAGCCTTATCAACACTGGGAACATTTCACAAGTTAAGTTCTTACACACTAGCCAATGGCCAGCCGGCCCTTCTAAGGAGCGTAACTTCAGGCCTATTTATGCTAACTCTTTCCTGTGCTGGCCCTAAAGCTGAATCAAGAAAAAATTGGAGTAAGGTTTCTGAGATGAACTTAGAGAAAGTGGGGAGGAGTCAGTTCCATAGGTCTTTACAGGTCATGGAGAGGAGTTGGGAGTCAATGCTAAGTGCAGAGTCCATCAATGGAGAGTTTTAAGCAAGAGAATAATGTGAGCTAATTTATACTTTGAGAAAATCATTCTCTGTATTATTGAGAATAGAGGGGGAGAAAAGGAAGCAATCAGAAAATTAGGAAGTTATTTTAGTAGTCCAAGCAAAAGACATTTTAAGCTAGGGTGGTAGGAGTGAACATGGAGAGAACTAGACAAATATGGAATATATTTTGGAGGTAAAGCCAGCAGACCTTTTTGATGATTTGGGTGTGGAGGCATGCCAGAAAGTGAGAATCGAGGCTATTGAATATTTTGCTTGTGCAGCTGGCTAAATGAGAAGGGGGAATGCTTCAGGAGACACAGCCGCACAGCAAGAAATCCACAGACAATGGGAGTGTAGGGTCACATGCTAAAACACTGGTAGGTTTGGGGGTAGGAAAGTAAGGAAGCTCCTGTGGCTGCTGTTTTTTCCATGTCATCACCTGAGAGTGAGGAGGAGGTGAAGTAGGTGGGGGATAAAGTTTTGAAACTGTCACTTTGGAATATGGGCAAGTAAACATATATATTAGGAAAGATATGGTATAATTATCATTCAAATACATTAGCTGTGTTTTGGGTAGACACTAAGGGGACATCTTTTGTCTCTGACAAAGCTTTTTCAGCCCACCTAAGAGTATCAGGAGCTATGAATGTGACATTTTTGATCCTTGAGGCAATTCAGAGAGACAGCTCTCTCTGGTCCTGGTTACCATTTGTAGTTGCCCATTAAATGACTTCAGTGGTCTTTCTCTAAAACAGAAAAAAAGGCAATTTATTAGTACACAGAGTGAAGCTCAGAGAGGGTGGTCTGAATTTGCCAATCCAGGAGCTCCACAATGTGCTTCCTATCTCTTCTGCTCCGCCATCCACAGTGCTGGCTCCACCCATTAAGTGTGGTTGCATTTGTGGTCATAAAAAGGCTGCCAGTAGCAGGTGGAGCTACACGCTCCCTTGCTTTCATCAAGTGGGGAAAGCAGAAAAACCCTTTTTAGAACCATGACCTAAATAAAAAAGCCTTCCTTTTAGCTGGAGCCTGATGGAGTCATTTTAGGACATAAACCAAACTGTAATAAGACACTGGGGAAATACATGTGCAGGTTGGCTTAAATCTGGGTTACTTAAGCTAAATCACTAGCGGCAGAGGTGGGAGTGTAAGGGGATGGCAGCGGGGTGGGGTGGTGTTTTCACAATGGGTTTAGACTAATCAGTAGTGCAGGCAGTGGCTTACCCCTCAGTCACTTGCACTACGTGAGGGAGGAGTGGCTTCCTGAATTAAACTAGGTTTATTAAGAAGGAGGGAATGGATGCTGGCTAAGAGTTGTCTACTACAGAAACTGAGGGTGAAATACAGCTGACACATTTAATGGCCCATATTAAAATATTGTTTTAAAATACAGTTATTCCTACATCGAAGGCAAAGTAGTGGGTGGAGAAAGATTATCCCTTAAAACTTTGATTCTTATAAGATCCAGTTAGTAATTGAAAGAAACCCTTCTGCCATCTCTATACTAGAGGCTGAATCAAGAATGATTATAAAAAGTTGGTGGGGTTGGGTTTTCAAGACAGCTCCATCTGATGGGTACTCACAACCGCACGCCTTGGCCGGCTCTGCCAGCTCTGAGGTGTGTGTCATTTGGGGCAAGTCACTTACTTCCTCAGAGCCTGAGTTCATGGGGAAACATCGCTTAGAAGTAAGGATTAGGGAGTATGAGATGTCCCCTGTAACGCGTCTGGGCTGTGAGGGGCACTCAACGACTAGTGGCCGGCCTACAGGGAAGGAAGCGGAAAAGAGTTGTAGCTGTGTTATCCTAGCATCATGAATGGCCATTTTTTAATTACAGGAGAAAATAAAACATGCTTAAAGAACGTAATTTCATCTTTCTTTAGTAAGTTAAAGAGGCCTTGAGAATTTCCAGTAATTTAAATCTTAAGTACTGTTGATGTAAATTTAGAACAGTCTAAATGTATAGCAATCCCATAACATAATGACACCTATATGTTTTAAAATATAAATACAGGTATAAGCTGAGTGATGTTTCTTGAAAATTCATTATCTGACTCATTGTGTTTAGACAAGTATAGTATATGGGTTGCCCAAAGGTGCTGTTTGTAAGCATATAAAAAAATGTTTCTATATTATAAAAGACCTATATAATTTTTTTATCACTTGCAAAAAATTAAAGAGTGATCTGTATATATTTACATTTTAAATTTAAATCATTCAGGTTACGTTTATTAGTACCTCATATCTTTTGACTTTTATTGAATGAGGAATATTCTAATTTTAGTCCATTACTTAAATTATTATGATTAATCTTTCATATATAAGTACTCTACTTTATTATATGGTATACTTTTTTATGTCTATTTCCATGCAATTTTGATTTTTTACAGTTGCATAGATCTTTGAATAATTGTCATTTACTGATATTCAAGTCCCTGGCTTATATTTTAACTGTTTTGAAGAGCTGTCAGATTTAATTTGTCATTCTATAAATTGTAGGTGGTATACAATATGTTTGCCAGAATATTTTTAGAGACCAAAATTTCTTTCTGCATTAAATCACGTTAAGGCCGCTTGTCTTATTTAGTATTTCTCTATTTTTGCAGTATTTGTAGCCGATTTATAATTTGAAGCAAATGCACTTTAGTATATTGATTACTAAAAGCACTTATGTTCTGAGACTAAATGAGCTTCTGAATTGACTTACCATTTTTATAGGATGCAGTTCATGAGAAAAGGGCAATACAAAGCTATAATTTTTTAAACAGAAAATACAGAGAACTGGGAATATTTTAAGCAGCAGAAATGGGCTAAACAAGATGAATAACAAGAAATGTAATTTTTTAAAAGATTAGCAGTTTTATTTCTCCCATGAAATTCTGTTTAAAAAAAACTATCTTGTAGAGTAATGAGAACTTAGTTTTTTACCAACTTCCTTTATGTGTGATTGAAAATTACTTTTGAGATCTATTCAGGTGGCTTCCTACCTGTTGCCTTTCTCAGGTGTGTTTGCTTTTCATCTCTCCTTCCTGTAACATAGGTACTGAATATACTCTGGTATTTAATTATTGCATAATATTTGGATATTTCTCCACCTAATATTATAAAGATTTAGCAGTATCTAAAACATGGACTATTTTTGAGGAGTTGTTTAAAGCTGTGATTACCTTTTGCTTGTCTAAATGTTGTTTTCTCAAAAGTGCAATTTGAACTATAGCCTCAAGGAGTATTCTGTATTTTTTCATTAAGTCTCTCCTTTTTTTAATTTAGTCTTAGTTTTGAGCTTTTTTTTATTAAATGCACAGTCTTTCTTTGGTACATATTTTTCCATGTTTCAGAAATGAGTGTCTGTCAGCTTTAGAAAAAGGAACATTTGTAATAGGTGTATTACAACTTCTGGATTTTATTTTTACTTAGCTACAGCTCCTTCTATCCACATCTGGGATGCAATTAACAAGCAGACTTTATCTATACTAAGATGCTACCATTCAAAGGGAGTGTGTTCAGTCAGCTTCAGTGCTACTGGCAAACTCTTGCTGTCTGTGGGACTGGACCCAGAGCATACTATTACCATTTGGAGATGGCAAGAAGGTAGGATTATTTTTTCTTTGTGATTTTTAAAAATAAGAATACTAGGGTAATATGAATTCTCTTTTTACTGTTTGCCTTAACTTAGTGATTGAAACCATTGTTCATTACATGGTTGTAATGAACCTACACAATACCCAGTGTACAAATGGTATTATTGTAGGTATGTTACACTTTAAAAACCCAGTGAAATCATAAACTCACAAAGCATAAATTAATGAAAGTTACTGATACTATTGTACATGATTCATTACTCTTTCCTTTCAGTAAGAACCTATGTAAGTCTCTGCTAATATTTGATTGGTTTGGAGGAACTTAAAAATGGAAATGAAGTATATTGTAAGTGATAATGGAAGATCAGTGGGGTAATACTATACTTAACATGCTCTAGACAAAACTTCTCAGCTATGTAACTACTAGAGAAAATGAAGTTCATAGAGCTACAAGGAAAAAGCAGAGGATATGGCTTCAAAAATCTAAAATGGCCCTTAAATGATAATGAAGCTCTCCATAAATGCATTACTCGTGAAAATATGTAAAAGGACACTTTGCCCAGAAATTTATATCAAGGGATTGTTCAGTAGCAGTGCAAGGAACATGCCCTCTCATAAGTATTTGTTTTGTGAACTATGTATTTTGAATAACTGGTTCTGTAAAAATTAGCTTAGTTCTGACATTGACCTAGATAATTTTGTTGTACCTTTTTTTATCAGGTGCCAAAATTGCCAGCAGAGCTGGTCATAACCAACGTATCTTTGTGGCAGAATTCCGACCGGATTCGGATTCCCAGTTTGTGTCTGTGGGAGTAAAGCACGTGAAGTTCTGGACACTGGCAGGACGGGCTCTTCTTAGCAAAAAAGGGCTCCTGCGCCCCTTGGAGGATGCACGGATGCAGACCATGCTCGCTGTGGCCTTTGGTGCAGTATGTCTCTTAAAATGCATGTGGAGTGAGACTTTAAATTACATAAATAGGACTACTGTGAATTTTTTTTGCCTTAGAAACATTAATGTTTATATGGCACTATAATGCACTAATCATTATATATGTCTTGCTCATGCATTTATTTCATCATTCAAAATCTGATGCTGTCAGAAATCAGGTAATGGGAAAGAAAGTTAATGAGGGAGGAGGATTATAATGAAACATTCGAGTCCTTGGCCATTGCTGTTCTCAAAAACCTTCTTTAATTTTGTAATTGTTACCCTAAATCTAAAATTTCTATCTTCTTAATAATTCCTCATGGTCCTAAACACTTGTCAGATTAACAGAGAGGTAAATCAAGAAATGTAATTTTCAAGTGTTTAAGGTTTAGGATTTCCTTTGCTTCCTATAATCTTAATTCACTGCTTATCACATGTTGAAAGTGCCCTGGGCCAGTATTAATTTTGTAATTGTTACCCTAAATCTAAAATTTCTATCTTCTTAATAATTCCTCATGGTCCTAAACACTTGTCAGATTAACAGAGAGGTAAATCAAGAAATGTAATTTTCAAGTGTTTAAGGTTTAGGATTTCCTTTGCTTCCTATAATCTTAATTCACTGCTTATCACATGTTGAAAGTGCCCTGGGCCAGTGTCTTTTATTCAAAGGACAGCATAACTCCTGGTCTTCACAGAAGGGGTGTTCAAGAGCCACCCTCTCCCCTATCCCATCCAGGTTGTGCTTTTTGTACATCTCTTTCCTTCAATGCCCTGCCCTGGCCAGCCTTTGTAAATCCTTTGGTGTATCAAAAACCCAGGTGGATTTCCTTACATCCAAGTGGTAATGTAACACTTGAAGGAAGTAAATAATATTTTTAGAACCTTTAAGCAGACTTATGTTTTTGAGAAGAAGACCATAGAAAATGTTGGTTTTATCATATTAAACTTCAGTTACACATTTTGGGAATTACTTATGTAAGGCCAGTAATCCCTTTCCAGAAGAAAAGCCCACACATTCAAATGCTTTGGGCATTTAATTTGCTCATGCAGACTAACTTTATTCATGTATAAAATTTCTTATGTTTCCCATCCCCAGTAGAAAATAAATTTAAAGACAAAAATATTCGTTTTAATTGGCTTATGTTTGAAACAACAGTGCATTCAGTGAGAATGTTTTGTTACATAACAGGATGCATTGATGTTCAGTTTAAGCCTTTTGAACATTCTCTCTGATAAGAGCAGGGGAGTAATACTGGCTTCTACACCTGAAGCATTTACATTCTAATTGCAGGTAAGGCCTGAATTAATGATGCTCGTAGATGAAAAATATATTTATTGTTTTCCAAATATGAGAGATAGGGAGTATGCATAAATGCTGAGGAATTTGAAGTAACATTAAACTGTTGTTGATAAATTAAACATAAAACTATAAGCATTCTCATAAAAACTAAAGAAAATCTCAGTTTGTTTTTGTTATAATTCAAGGTCCTATTTTACTATTGTTTTTTTCATAGTGTTACTAGCAAAAGACCATACATGAGCTCCTCTAAAAGTGAAGCTAAAATGAATGAAAATAGCTCATGATGCAGGATTTAGTTTCTCTGGTTTCCACATAAATGAACTATATCAGGATTACACTTCTCAAAGTGATCTTAAAGTATTATTAAACTTTTGGTACCTTATCAAATTCTTATTTTGGAATGCAGAAATCCATTAACTTTTGTGTTGTGATTTTAAAAGATCATGACAAATGTTAATTTCATATATAACTTCATAAATTAGTGAAATAAAAAAAACTCCTACAACTTTGCTATAATTTTCTGTGGCAAAATATTTATTAAACCTAATAAAGTTATTTTTACTTCCCATCCCTATTCTTTTTTTCACTCTGAGTTATTAATGACCTTCAAGTTATTTCTTGGGCAGCTAGAGGCAAGCAATCCCGGAGGGACAATATAGGATGAATTTTACACATGAAAAAGCTGATACTTATAGAGGTTAAAGGTCTGGTCCAAGGTTGTTTCAGCAAATAAACAACAGAAGTGGGAAAGGAAAAGGCCCGACAAGGCTAAGCCTCAAGTTCAGATGCTCGGGCCCTAGAGCCCACTGTCTCTCCCACCTTACCATTCCTCTTGGTATCCAAGAGTAGGAGATAGGTTCACACTTACATAGAGAATTGCGTCTGTTTGAACTCTGAACTTTTGATGAGTTTATCTCCCTTTTCCCCACTCCTTTTCAGAGTAACTTGACGTTTACAGGTACTATCAGTGGAGATGTCTGTGTGTGGAAAGATCACGTACTGTGTAGGATCGTGGCCAGAGCTCACAACGGGCCTGTGTTTGCCATGTACACCACACTGCGAGATGGACTTATTGTGACTGGTGGCAAGGAAAGGCCGTGAGTCCTCTTTTCACAGTCTTACTGAGTATTTATTAACTGGGATCTACCTGAGGCCTGCAGTTAGTTATTCTAGTTATTTCTAGGCTACACAGATTATCCCCTCCGACTTCCCCCCTCATATGCTTTCCTTTTATGTGCCTTCTTCTTGATTCTTATCTCTGATCTTACATTGCTTCCAGTTTTTTCGTTTTGTAGATAAACGTAAACTCCAGCAGCTGGAGTGACAGTTTTTCTGAGATATGGATAGGAAGTTAACCTGCAAGTTGAGAAGTGATTTTCTTAATGTCTATCTGTCTATATAAGCATTTGCTGGTGACCCATGGTAGAGTCTTTGCCATCAAACCCAGGACGTGTCTTGACTGCCTGCTTGCTTTTTTATTCAAACTGGATACTAATAAGCATTCTGCCTCATTAGGAAGGATGAGAGGATACAAGAAACAAACTGCCTTATTTGCTTTTGCTTGAAGCAAACTTGTTAGATAAAAAACTGTTTAATACAAGACCTCTTAAAATTTCAGTCTGAGAAGAGGCCTTTATTTGGAGTAAGTTTCAAATTTCCCAAAGCAAAAATGTATTCATGTGGAAATGTACATGGCCAAGGAGCAAGTACCTCTCAATACAGGAGGGGAAGAACCCACAGGCATTAAACACGAATGCAGCAGCTTTTGCCTTTGATGTGCAGGAAGGCCGTATGCTGGCGCACGGGCAGGTTCACATGCAGGAGGGCCGTATGACGACGCACGGGCAGGTTCACATGCAGGAAGGCCGTATGATGTGGCACACGGGCAGGTTCACATGCAGGAGGGCCGTATGCCGGCGCACGGGCAGGTTCACATGCAGGAAGGCCGTATGATGTGGCACACGGGCAGGTTCACATGCAGGAGGGCCGTATGATGTGGCACACAGGCAGTTTTTTTGTTTGTTTTTTTACGGGTGTTTTTTTCCTAAGACAAGCAGTTCATCTAGTAGAAAATACAGAATATGTTTTCAGTTCCCCCAAGAGAAAACCCATAGATGGGCTACGATTTGTCTCTGACATATTACTCTGACACTTGTGTTTCCCACACGTTGTCTTGCACAGCTCTGCTCATTAATAGCCTACCAAACTATTTCAGTAGGGTCATTACTAATAATGGTAGGAAAGAAATGTGCTTCTCTTTTAGTCTTTAAAATAATTCCTATAGGATAGCACCTGTAATCCTATTATCTCCTTGCATTCCCATTATCTTTTTCTGCACTAAAAGTCACCTTGTACATTTTCTTAAGAAGTATTATGAGAGAGGATATTTTTGTGGAGTGACTAAATGAAAGTATGCTTGTGGCAGAAAAATGTGTTTTCATAAAATGAAATTGCTTAAATGAAAGATACAGTGTATCTTAAAATTGCTATAGAAAGTTTAGAGGAATATGAAAGTAAATTATAACTATCAGGGCCTTTTTATTTTTTACTGTTCTGCTTATAATTTAGTATTTGTTTATAAAAAGAATTATTTGTAATAACCAATACTAAGTGCCTGTTTTGGTTTGGGTTGTTATTTACTTAGGTCGAAGGAAGGAGGAGCAGTCAAACTGTGGGACCAGGAGCTCAGGCGCTGCCGTGCCTTCAGGCTTGAGACAGGACAAGGCACAGACTGTGTTCGCTCTGTGTGCAGGGGCAAAGTAAGATGTTCCTTGAGCCATCACAGTGCAGCAGACAGTAGAGAAGTTAGTCCTCTGGTCCCCACCCTCTGCAGCTTGATGAATCATACCTAAAGATAGATCTGCGCCTTTCCCTTTCTTCGCAGTCCACTGTTGGCACATACGCAGTCTCTGCACCGGTGCGATGCATAAAATAGCCAGATGTTCTCCTGTCTGAACACTGTATTTAAACCTCCATATTCTCTTGAATCTGCCAATTCAGTTATGGTAGACAGAACCGAATTTTTTTGCCAGTTGACTAATTTTGATTTTAACAGCTGTCCCCATTTACACACACACACACACACACACACACACCCTATAAAAAATTTTGACCATATACACACACACCACTATAAAAAGTTTTGACTAGGTATGCAATCTCACTAAGTGCATTTATAAATCATATACATATATTTCCCTTTGTATGTTATAGATTAGCTAAGCTTACTTTTATTTATACTTACTTTTAGACTAAAATCCAATACTTTCTTCCTGTATCTCAATGCACTTTCACCTGTTTAGAGCTCTTCAGATTAAAATGTCATAGTTAAAGTGAAAACTTGGATGATTGGCAAGGCCAGATGTATTATTTTATGGAACAATTCTGTTCCTTAGCATGGACTCTGCTGTGCAGCCCAACCCAGAGCTCTTGCAGTTGACCCTCTAGTCACAGAAAGCTTGAATGAGCAAGCTAGAGATCGATCTGCTTGCTACTAGATTCGGTCAAAGCAAAAAGCTCTCCGAATGTAGGTTATAGGGTCACTCTTACATTATTAAGGGCAACTGTTGTACTATATTACATGTTTGTCCCATTTGTGTTTCAGGGCAAGATACTAGTTGGGACAAGGAATGCTGAAATAATTGAAGTTGGAGAGAAAAATGCAGCATGTAATATTTTAGTTAATGGTCATGTGGATGGACCCATATGGGGACTAGTGACACATCCTTCCAGGGACTTTTTCCTTTCTGCTGCAGAAGATGGGACAGTGAGACTCTGGGATATTGCTGATAAAGTAGGTACAATTTTTTAAAAGATGTTACAGTATCTAAGAGGGAAAGTGGAAGTCCTAAGCCACTTAAAGAACTTCCTCAGAATTAATATAGATCAGAAATTTGGAGAGAAATTGGTTTATTTCTATGTACTCCACTTAATGTAGTTTTCTATGACTCTTTTGGTTCTTATGCAGAAGATGCTAAACAAAGTGAATTTGGGACATGCTGCTCAGACTGTGTGTTACAGCCCTGAAGGGGACATGGTGGCTATTGGAATGAAAAATGGAGAATTTATTATTTTACTGGTGAGCTCTTTAAAAATATGGGGAAAGAAGAGAGATAGACGATGTACAATTCATGATATCAGGTCAGTCAACAAATGGAATAGAATTTCTAATATACTTTTAAAATGACCCTGTTTGCATTTAAGAAAAGGTCCTTGGTGCCTGTAGCATTTTATCACATCAATTGTATGCTGAAATATGGCTCTTTGTATGCTTCTTGCTAAATTGTAAGTTTACTGGGCAGCAACCGGCGTGCCTTATATGTACAAAGGGAGGATTTGATGAGTATCACACACGACCCGTCCAGCAAGTTCATCATCACTGCACAGAGGAGAGCCATCTGCCTTCAGAAGCTGGCAGCCTGGGAAACTGAAGTTATCTTAATAATCTCAACTGAATATATAGCCCATTTAATTAATATTCATTGAACACCTATGCTCCAGAGTATGAATTTAAGCTTTTCTTGAACCTTTATTTTTCAATGCTTTAGCTTATTTTAAGAGGCTGCCATTTACTGTGAGCACGTCTCCATGATCAGGAGGTGCCACTGGACCCAGGTGTCAGAGCCCGCGCTCTATTCACCACCAGTAAAGCCCTTCGACAAACGAACCATCCTCTCCACTTCAGTGTATAAAACAGTAATGGCAGCTTCCTACAGCCAGTGTTCGTAAGGTACCTCAATTGAATTGGTCGATGCTGCTTCCCATATCACTAGGCAAGAAGTACATTATTTTATCTTTTAAAAACTTCCAAGCATCAGGTAGTGTCACTTCATCTGATAGCCGGAGGTGAGTTAAGTTGGTCTGTGTTCTTTGCTATTAAGATACCATTTTTCCAGAGTAAAGAATCCTATTTTAGTGAATTATATATCCTAGTAATTATGTAATTAGTGGCTTTTTTAAACCAAGATATTTCTAAAAGAATTAGTAGATGAAAATTCAGGAACTGTTTAAAATTGAAGTAAAATACAAAGCTTTTTGTTTCATGTAACACAAATATAATCTCAGTGTACATAATCAGTTGTGTCCATCACATAAATCTATTTGAAGCCATGAGATACCTATACTAATTTTTGAAATCTGGAAAGGAAAAATCACTGGTCTTAACAGTATACTATATTTCATGTAGTCTGATGCATCTGTTCACGTTTTATTACATATTCAGGTTTAGTCCAGATTCCCGATTTCTGGCAGTGGGTTCTAGTGAGAACTCAGTGGATTTTTATGACCTAACATTGGGCCCCACCCTTAACAGAATCAGCTACTGCAAAGACATCCCAAGCTTTGTCATTCAAATGGACTTCTCTGCAGACAGCAGATATCTCCAGGTACACTACCAATACTGTACGTCCGGTTTGTTAGTGACTGCGTTTAAAATGCCTGAATTCCAGAGCTTCTGAACTCTTGCTATTTACTATTCACTGTTTTTGCATTCTTTAGTATCCTATTCTTATTAATCCTTATCTCGGTTTCTTTCTAAGATTTTTGTAGTAATTTTTTATGTCCTTAATGTTAGAAATATACATCAAATAGCACTTTACTAGTATACTGTACACTTCTGGATTTTGCCACTCATGTATGAATTCTTGTCCCATCTTAACACCATGAAAGGTCTCCACTGGTTGCTATAAACGGCATGTCTATGAAGTGCCTTCAGGAAAACATCTTATGGATCAGGCTGCCATTGACAGAATTACTTGGGCTACATGGACTAGGTAAACATTTAATATATTCAGAGATGAAGAATTGACTGAGGGTCAGTTAGGAAAACTGGAAAATCCTATTCCACTAGGAAATAGTCCTGTATTTTAAGGTTTGGTTATCTTGAATTCTTCCTGATAATGAAAAGCTTATGCTGGGACCTCTTGACTACACATCTCCCCATGCTCAGTTCTTTTAAAGAAAGGAATTCAGAGTTATGCCTTTAAAGATGCTCTGATATTTTCCTTAACATAGGTATAATAGTAGTAAATAAAAATACATACTGGGTACTGTTAATTTTATTATTTCTCTAAGTAATGCTTACAGTTGTTAGAAATAAAACCTTATAAATTTGTTCAAATTTGCTGGCTGTAGAACAGGTAACCATGAGTATCCATTTTTTGGTCAAAGTGAAAAATGCCATTGAATTCTTGTAGTATGAGCATCACTTCTCATTTTAAAGTTTATTAGCTCTCACAAAGTATTAACTGAATTCTTTAAGTATTATTTAATCTGTAAACCCTTAAAATTATAGAATGTCATGGGAGGAGGGCCATCTAGATAACCTGCCTTAACATAACTTACTTCCTGTATTTTAAATAATTAGGTTCTTAGAGGTTAGTTACCAAGACGCTCCTTCAGTGCGGTAAAGCTGTTTGCTGTGGTGGATTCTTGTGTTCCTTTCCTCTAGTATTCTAGGAGATGAAGTCATGGGAATCTGGTCCAGACACGCAGAGAGGGCCAATGTCAACTGTGCCTGCGTCTCTCATTCAGGAATCAGCCTTGTAACAGGGGATGACTTCGGCATGGTTAAGTTATTTGACTTCCCATGTCCTGAAAAATTTGTAAGTTGGTGTTTGGCTTAGTAGTTTATGTAATCTTACCCAATGTAGATGTCTGACCGTTCATACTCTCTCCCACACATTAGCTAAAATGTTGTCTTCTGGTTAGAAAATATGTGTTCCTACAAGTTTTTCATACCTACTAAACCCATTACTCTGAAATAAAAGCTATTAGAAATCCTCTCCCTGCCCACAGTAACTTCATCTTTGCAAACTATCCTAATAAAATTATGATTAACCTACCAAACCTTTAACCTATCACCAAGTTTTAAATGCCTTCCCTCAGAGGAGAATTTTCCGAATACCTGGAGACATCTGACTGTGCAAATCACCAGTGTGAACGACAGATCCATTACTCACTGAAAAGAAGCATGTCATCCCTGGCTGTGGTCCTAATGCCACTCTCCCCACAACCCTAGTGATGGAAATTACAGCTTCTGACAGGAACTTCTGACGTGTGTGCATCACATCTTCAACTTTGCTTTTCATTTTTTAGGCAAAGCACAAAAGGTTCTTTGGTCATTCACCCCATGTGACAAATATTCGATTTACCAGTGGTGATCGACATGTTATTAGTGCTGGAGGCGATGACTGCAGGTTGGTAACATTCTCAGCTCAAGAAGAGACTATATTTCACTAGTTATTAAGAGATTTAATATCACCTCTAAAGCTTCATTTTATGGATGCAACCGGTCAATATTACAGTAAGGTAGCATAACCAGACTTCTCCTTGGAACTATGTACAATGTAAATGCACAATAAAAGGAGTTAAGGATAAATTTTATGTAAGTATGATCTTAAAGCTCATTGAAAAACTATAATGGACTCACTGTAATTTTTTGATTGCAGTTTATTTGTCTGGAAATGTGTACATATGCCTCACTGAAAGATATGGATGCTCAGAAGACTCTTCATAAATTAACACCCTTGAGAGACCAGAATTACAGAAGAGGGAGGAAAAAACCAGAACCACTGTGTGGTCAAGTGGTGCTAACCTAAGATTGTTAACAGGGATAAATGTCCAGAATCATCAAAACAGAAGATTGGAGATTCAAAATATGTGCTCTATGTACTGGATAGCTGTTCATAATCCATACACTGCCAGATAATTACATTTCAAGGAAGAGGTGAATGAACCCATGCTGGTGAAAGCCAGCCCCCCCCCCCGCCCCACTTTGGGGGAGTGTGCAAATCTGGCAGACCTGCTGAGGTGGGTTAGGGGACAGCACTTCTCAAAAAGCAAACTAAAACCTCAAAAACCCAACGTGGATAGTTTTCTTTTTTTTAGCAAATCTGTTTTTCTTTTTAGAATTTATATTTTATTTTCAAGGTTCATTGTCTAAATTTTATCCTTATATTTACATAAGGAAACACCATCACCGACAAAGGATCAGTTTTTAAAAGGCAAATATCATTATCCCTAAGGAAATACACACAGGCTTTACTGGAGTATTAATGCTGCTTAAGCATAATAAAGCTCTTTATAAAGTACATTTTTCTCTTGACAGTTTCAAATTCAGGAACAAATCCAAAGTTAGTAGTATATGATCACTACAATTTCCTTTCTGCTGTCAATCTTTTTATATTCAGAAGTTGTCTCCATAGTTGAAAAGTAGAAACATTATAGCCTCATTAAAGAAAAAGTAGTATGATGATCATTTCCCATGGTGTACAATTTAAGGCTTTAGATAGGAACAGTATTTAAAACTGGGAGAGAATATTGAATATTTAAAGATGTAGTCTGTAAGAAATATGTTTAAACATGTAAAGTGTTAAATTCATATTTACGTTATACAATTTAGTAACTTGACATTTTTAGTTTTTCTACTGGAAAAATTTAATTAGATGAATGCCTCCCCATGGGTCAACATCCAAAAGGAATGAGTACAGGTGTACTTGCAAGACTTGTCTATTGAAACTCCTTTTTGGCGGATTGGGGCTAAACTCTTTAAGATCTTTATTCACTTTAAATGCTGCCAAAGATCAGTACTTGCCATTCAGGAATTTGCTGTTTAACCTATTTGTAGTTTCCTGAAGATTGGAAATTATGTAGACTGCTATTTAAAAATATATTTTTCTAAGTGTGAAAAAGTTTAAGATGCTCTATTGTCTTAAAATTTTTTATTTTAATGTGTTAATTATCTTTGTAGCAGAATAGACACCTTCAAGTTTCCAGAAATCTCAGCTTGGTTTGACAAGACATGGAGATTCCTAGTAATATATTTTGTATGTCCAACTCCTTGTAAATACTAAGAACAGAAATGGCTGAATTATATCACAACCTAACTAGTGACTAACCCTGGTCAGTTTTAAAGTCTGAATAGCTATGTCTAGAGGACTAATTTAAGGCATTAAGGAGCTTGAAACATAAGATCATATTCTTTCATTATTTATCTCAATCGATTCTCCCAAATTAAGCTAAATTTTAGAATACCTTTAATGTTACGTTTCTATTCATATATATTATAAAGGCGGAAGTAAGGAAAAAAATTCCCCTGAACCACCCTTTCCATTTTTGAACCTGTTAAAGTTTACAGATTTTCCAAATTTGCCAGCTTTTGGCTAAAGAGAAATTCCACTTTACAGATAGAAACACTATACCCTTAAGTAAACTTATATATGATAAAACAGGTTTCACTGCGTTTGTGTTCTTCCAGTGGCCAGTCTAACAAGCCAGGCTTAATCACTGCTGTCAGCTTCACGAGCAAAGGTCATGTTGATTTTAAGCAGTCAGTCATCCCACAAGCACCTTGCTTACACCAGCCATCAGCTAAGGGAAGATGAATAACCACAATGGGCTGTGTATATTCTGTCCTGTGTTTATTGTTCTGGCCCAGAGAATTATTTTATCATGTACAGTGTGTAAGCTCCTGTTTGGACCTTAGGGCTTCTCCCAGCGCCTCCACTCCCGATTCGGTGTACCCACACATTCCAAAGCACACTGCTGCCACTCACGCGTGCCCTTGCCATGCTCATTCCCTTCTTTTTGTGACCCCTTTTTGATGGTAGTTCAAGTTATACAACGAATGTCTTATCAACCTTAGCTTGCCCATAAACCATAACCACTGAAAGATTAAAACTCTTAAATGTGTTTCCAGGCAATATATATTAAATGCCAAAACCTAGTCTGGTTTTAGCATGTTACTGACTTGTAAAATGGCCTAACTGAACCACTTAAGCCCTTGTTCCCCATTTATGTTCTTTATCGTGAAATCCAACTATATACCAGAGCTACATACTAAGAGTCTTTAAATTTCTAGAGACAATTCACAACAAATTTCTTCCACAGAGATGTAAAGCATCTCCAGTAAAGAGCCCTGGAGAGAGCATCAGAGGGGCACACTCTGGCTGACGTGAACGGCCCCTTCACCCAGGCCGCACTGCGCGGTGGCCCAGTGCCCCAGTGTGCTTTGTCTTCCTGCTTCTGGCTTCGCCAGGGTTTGGACCCAGCACAGCAAAGTGCAGCTGACAAAATGGTTTCGTAACTGGTTAATTCTTTCTTCTCCCAATAGAAAAGCAATGGCCAAAAAAACAACAGCCTGATTGTTTTATGCTCTTAAACTTGGACTTTTACACATGTGGTTTTGTTATCACTTGGGTATATATATGAACGCTGTTTTTTAAGAGTTAGCTTAATTTGGTCCTGAGAATATTTTGAGTACTTTCCCTTTTGCATTAATTCACTCTTTTCTAACCAAGTTTTAGCTTTACTTTTTAAAAACTTCTATACATCAAGTCTTTAAAATTAGTGATCCATTTGTTATTTCATCCTAAAGCATTTGACACTTCTTGCCTTAACTAGTTTAAAAACCACACACACAAAACTGTATGTATTCAGTAGTCCAAAAGTTTAGTCCTATTTTGTGGTTTACCCATCTAATTTCTGTAATTATATTGTCTGTCATTTAAAATATACTATTTAAATCTAATTTCTACATTTAAAAAATTATCTTCAGTAATAATGAAGTATATTTTCTGTGGGATTATTTCTCAGAATGTTATTTTTCAGAATGTGAGAATATCTATGTATAGGTGTAATCTTGGGAGTTTAAAGTCTGTTTTCTGATACCTTATGTATATACCTGTAAAAAGTTTTGTATAATTTTGTGATAATGTAGTTCCCTAAAATATTTATTTAAAAAGTACATGTTAATAGTAAATGAAAGCGTTTTAAGGAATTGTTCATGGTTTTTCACTTGCCGTTCCAGCTGTTCCCACCCCTTTCCACCCTGCTGCAGGTCACCCCAGTCATCCTTCTCTGAGGATAAGTGACTCGCTATTTGGGAACCACTTAGCAAAGTGATATCCACCCTGAGGAGCCTGTATTGTTATCATCATGCTTTTCAAACTAAATTCACTTAAAATTAAAAAGGATGGAATGAGTTGGCCATTCCTCTTTTCAGAGTGGATTTATGTACATTCTATAATCCTTGGAGAAAAGTGAAAGCGGCAGCCCAACTTTTGGGATAAGGTCCCCCTCATGACATCCATCGTATACACATTACTGCTGGGGCCCCAAAGTGCACTAACAGTTCTGACAAGGATTTCACCACGTTGTAAATGCTGATACTTGAAACAGCAGCATACAAACACGCCTCATAGATTTTAATAGAATTTAGCTTTTCCTTAAACTGTCTTTCCATAGTCAAAGCAAAATAAGAACCCAGTGTTAAAACCACTTAATAAACTTACAAACTTGAAAAATTAGACAGATAGGCAATAAACTTCATATGATGAAAGCAATATATTCCAAGTTTCAAAGATTTGACAAGTTCTGTAGAACACCTTTCATCGGTAGATGGAAACTTTCACTTTGAATCTTCTGCCAGACAGGACTGGGTATCATTCACTGAATAAACAAAACCAAAAACAATTTTTAAATTAACTTCTTTGCATTCACATTTATTATATACCTTAGGTAAACTATTTTCAGACAATACTCTTTCTACAGATTTACAGTATAAACAGACTTTTGAACAATCCAATTGTATAAAGCACATAAAAGAACATGTATTTGAATTTATAAGCCCCACTAAAATTTTTTAGAACTTTTACAATTAGGATCTAAAAAATTTTAATACAAGAAAATTGGTGTGAGATTTGTAAGCAGTGTAACTGCTGGACACCTTGGTATAAACATAGTTAAGAAATCTAATCTAGAAATGATCTAGGTGACTAAGCAAAACAAAATTTGGTATATATACTGATTTTTCCAAAGGTCTCTTGTAAAATTAAACAGCAGAGAAAGTTTCCCCCCAAGTGTGCTTACAAATATAAAAAACCTATGTTATTAGAAAAGTATTTGAAATGACAGAGACTAATTCTGATTTTCACCTGGTCTGAGGTCGAATCCACTTCAAGGCGTGTCGTGGAGGTACAGTAATGGTGGGATGGTAGAACGTGCAGTCGGGTCTCGTACACTGAGTGTTGAATCTACAGTGCTAAAGGGAGAACAGAGTTTCAACATCTGCATAACCAGTACAAATAAACCCCAAGACAATCTGGGATGACAATACCCAGTATATAGTCTGTAACATTCATTTTATTACACCAAAGCCTTAAAAAATGAGCCCCTCTCCCCTCACTGCAAGACAAAATCCTTTTGTCAAACACTTTATATGAGTAACTGCAAGTTAAATTTCAAAAGGAACCTTAGCATATAATACTTCTAATCCACATAGTAATCACCCTGTACATCCTGCCCGAGGTGCCCTTACATCCTTCCCTGAGCAACCTCTACACCCAGCTGCACTTGGGGGAAGCAGAGGCCTTTGCATGTGGGCTTCAGGCAGCTGCTTCCGAGAGACCATTCCTTCCAAGCATCTAAACGGCTGGAGACACACCAACTTTTGGCACACAGACAAAGCCAACATACCATACTGGTCTGGACGGTATTAAGATGCACTACTGAGTTTCTTCATCTCAGTTCTGGCACGAGGTGGGCAAGTAAGCAAAAAACCCCACATGCTCAGGGGCAGAGAAGAACGGAAACTGACAAGCAAATAGCCAAAGGTGAGCTTCACTTTCCTGAGAGCTTAGGATCCCTAACATTAGTTTCAGAACGCTTGGCCTACAGGGCCAGAATTGGGGCTGAATGAAAACTAGGGAATGACTTGAAAGCCTTAAAGGCTATAAAGTTAACAGAAAAGAAAAACTGGCAAGAAGAAAAACAAGACATTCCATTTGCTAGTAATCTTCCAAGCTAGAAGTTAGATCATTTCTGGGAAAACTAAAGTTCTTACTTTTGGATGATAGAAGGGACATTCCATTTTCTTACAAGCAGGGAAATAACGGCACAGCTGACTGCTAGATGGTGGTGCTGGTGTAGCTGCTGACAAAAATGAGGACAAAGACTAATCAAATTTACTTGGCAAATAATTTCTAATGCAAGTCTACTGATGTTTTTACAGGGACCACTTTAAATTACAATACAATGAGGTTTATATATTCCTTATCAAGACAAAATATTTCAGAATAACAGAGTGGGCATATTTGCTCTTTAAAGACTGATTAGAAAACATTCTGGCACAATGGTCACAAAACTATTCCTTTCTTTTTCTTTTTAAATTCAGTTTATAGTCACAAAATGTCATTTTCCATTTTTTTACCCCAATGTATTAATAGTGCAAAGTCACTAACCTGGTTTTGGAGACAGTACTGGAATTCTTCTACTCATATGAGTGAAGGGACAATCTGGTTTAGTACATTTTGCATCGTATTTACAATTTGGATGAACAAACAAACATTTTTCAGCAAATTTACAATTGGGGAAGGCTCTATAAAACAGAAGGTATTATTAGTCACTTTAATCTTCTCAGAGCATTATTTAACTTTTGTAGAGGGGCTCCTTACACTCATACCACATAACTGCTTGTTTGAGAAATACAGCAATAAGAAAAAAAGGAAACCCGTTTTTCAAATGGGTCAAATACTAAAATAGGACACAATTGTCTATTCCAAAGCTTATGGTAGTAACAGATTTTCAACTCAAAAGATAAGCCACCACAAAAGGCAGAAGGGTTTTTTGTGGTAACAAGCACACCACTTTCTCTATAATTAAGGTCATGTTTATATTATTTTATGAAGTAAACTCAGTATGATGAGCTTAACACAGGTGCAAGGCTCTGTGCTCCAAAACAGAGACTCACCCCATGGTCTCCCTATATTACATGTTATTCTCACATCAGAATTTCCCTGGAGTTAAAAAACATGGAGAGATACCACCTACAGGACCTAAAAAAATAAACCCAAACATCTCTCAAAGCTCATGCCATTAAACCAGCCGGCAGCTTTGGCAAAATCATAGCCATCCAAAAGTTTTCTCATTACCTTTAACTAATTTTCCCCCAATGCCTTAAAAGCTGTGTATATGTGTATGAACACAATATACACAAATAGCATTTGTCATATAACCATTTCCTAAAATTACAGAATCCTCAAGGAAACCAGGAATTTCAGCATCTCATAGGTCTGAGGCACAAAGCTGCCTCCTCTCACTCACCCTTTGCCCCAACACACACACACACACAGACACGCGCGTGCTTTAGGGGGGCAATGGTAAGTGCCGTAAAGCTCAAGCTTATCCTCAGAAAAGGAACAGTTAGGTTCTAGGAAACCGACCTGAAAACAGGGTCAGTCTGGGGCTACTCACTTGCATGGCGAGACGGGGTGGTGGTAGGCACACTCGTCCCCATTCTTGCAGGCAGGCCAGTACTTGCAGCGCTCCCCAAGCTTTACCGGTCTCTGTGCCACGCCCAGTTCACTCATCTCTGCTACAAAAGGAAAGGAATTAAGGGTATCTCTTCAATTCTGATCAGTACATGGTACCTGTAATCAATTTCCACTAAAATTCAGTCTTAAAATCTTATTCTATCTATGTCTAGAAAGTCACACAAAACAATGAGTCAAAATAATCTGGTAAACACTGACAAGATAACCCAGTAAGAGGCCCCCGAGCAGACTGCAGTTCTCACTGTGAACAGTACAGTGGACAGTGATGTGAGGAGAGCCGAAGTCTGCACACAAAAATACCAATTCTCAATACGATTTCAGAGCTGAATTACATATATAGAGGGAAGAACGTTAAGCAGAGAGCCAATGAAATGGAAACTAACAACACAAAGTGTCGAAGAACACGAACTCTCATATTCAGGGGCCATAGGAGTGGCCCTAACACAGTGTTCCCGCTGGCTGGCATCTTGCTGTCCTCTCAGTCCAGGTGATCAACTTACATCAGCGTCTACAGAAGGCGAAGACTTCTGCCTAAAGTGGGCCACAAGTGCCATTCCCTAGTGGCGCCTGCCTGGCAGAGGGAGCCTGGCTGGGTGTAATGACGGACGGCAGGCAACCCCTCTGCGGAGGAAACAAGGGGAGGGCGGCTGGGGAGCGTGCGCCACACTGTGCACCGGCTCGCCACCACGCCACACCCAGGTATGGGGCCGGTTACTCTGACGGTGGAAAGCGGCCCATGCTGCCAGACCGTCTCTCCCAATTCAGAAAGGCAAAAACCTTCTTACAAGACATAAATGTTAAATGCTGGCAACGATTCGAATTTAAAACACAAAATAAACCAAATAACTTTATGCCTGAAGGCCACAATGACCTGCCAACCTCTGGCCCAAGACACCCTTTAAAAAAAAAATCATGGTGTTCTGTATTATGGTCCATATCCACGTTTGTCGCTTCAACCACGGCCTCTGGTTTTCCTGCCCAAGGTCAGGCGGGGGGATTCGGCTCTGTGACTTACTAGCTCAGCAAGACACTTCATGCTGACATCTCTCAACTGCAGTTTCATCTATGCAACAAGGAAGTGGGGTCTTCCTTAGAGTTTTATGACAAAAAGCAAACCTGAATCAAAACAGGCAACCAATCAAAACCTAAATGAACAGCAGCTAGCTAGCATTCTGAGTGCTCCCAGTTTAAGTGACCTATCCTGAGGCTTCAGTCCAGGGCACCGGGCGCACAGACCCCATCCTGGAGCCTAGACAGGAGCAGCGGCAAAGAGCTGTTTTAACTATATATTCCAATACATACAATTTTCATGCCACTTTAAAAATAGTAAAAGTCACCATTTAGCTCGAGAATATAAAAAGTATTCTTAGTCTCAAACACAATCTGGTAGGGCTGGAAGGAGTTTCCCCACCTCTAAGTGGCTTTGGCCTCGTACCTGCAGAGAGTATGTGTCTTACCCCTCCTAAAGAACACACTTTACAGATGATGGAATATACACAAGGGCCAAAAGGAGCCTAACATACCAAAATTTACACTACTAATCTAAAAACCAAAGTAGAAAGAACACCAAAATTTTCTCTCATTTTAGACAAAATACAAAGAATCAAGAAATCTGCACTGCCTACCTGACTCCAGATTTTACCACCTCATATCATTTTA